CAAATTATTGAAAAAGCAAATCATCGATTCTGTAAATAAATTTATGGCATCTATAGCAATCGGTATTTTAACAGCTATATATATTGAAAATTTACTGAAGTATTTTGAATGGGAATGGCGCCTGAATTTTTACACGTATATCAATAAAGGTGACTTCGGATTAACGTACGACAATGAGACAGTAACCCAACAACATACATGTAAAACCAAAAGACATCTTTCGAGTTTAAAATATATTTCATCAGAATCAGTTGGTAGACAACAATCGCGAGTTCTAAAATTATATTTTACTTCCTGATAAAATGCAACGTTCATCACTGCACGTGCTTCCCATGAAAACATCACAACAATGCATAGGAAAACCCACGAAAAGCTTGATATAACTCGTATTTTCATGGTTGTAGCATAATTATGTCAATTTATTTATTATAAGAATTCAATGAACATTTTTATTACAGGGTTGTAAAGGCGTTGATCGTGTGTTTATTTTTTAGTAGGAAGAGCTTCCGCGCTTTCATAAAATGGCTTAAGGTTTTCCTACTTGGAAGGCCTGTCACGAATTAATTCAGACAGCAAATGCAGGCGTGTTATACGCCATTGTATAGATAAATTATTGTAAATTTCCGACATAATAAGTTTAATTGAGATTGACACCCGCGGAATAGAAAAGTAACGAAAGTTCTCGAAAATGCAAGTACCGTATATGAGTGAGTATTTATATATCCTGAACAACCAAACGGGCGCCTCCAGCTTTGGTCTTACTGCCGAACGAGAGAGCTTCATGTGACCATATGTTTATACCTACGTCAATTCCTTGGAGTTTCTTGTTTTAGAAATAGTTCACACTTTTTAAATAAAAGTATTTATATGATTTGCATGCGGGACCTTGTTTGTTTACCTTTAGTAATACAAAATGTTTCAAATATCTTCAATAAGCGGAAGTTCCAATCTGCATAAAGAAAACAAAAACATGAAGAATATTTCTGCACTCAAACAAATCAAACAATTCCACATTTGCAATTTAATTAGAATTCTGATTTTAATCACTCAAACGGGAAAAAAGTTATGTGTTTACAGAAGTTGTATTTTTTGTCTGCAAATAAACCTGCACAGGCAACTAGACAAATACCATTCCCTCAATTAATAATTCATTCGATTATTTGTCAAACAAATAATGCAAACTGTCACGACAAACATATGAAGCAGATGGCAAAATATTTCATAGTACAATTAAATTGACAAATTGATTTTGTTGCTTTAGGTTCAAATGCTTCTTCCTGTTTATTCAGGAAACAAAACCATAGTTATCTTTGTTAAACATTACTTCCTAACAATTTTACTGTCTGTAGCTGCCTGTTTTACATCGAATCCAACTTCATTTGGAGGAAATCATTTCGTACTAGATTTTTTTCAATTCATTTGTATATGTTCTTATACTTCTTCTCAATCGACTGATTATATATTGAATATCAAAGGTAATTTGTGGTATCCTGTTTTTGCACTATGACATGACAATAAAAACTTCGTCTTATCCCCACCCTACCCTCCCACCCACCCACCCCCAAAAGTACACAAACAAACAAACAAACAACTAGCTGGCATAAAAATAACCAATCTTGGAAGAAACCCCGACATCAAACTCCGCTTTGAAACTGAAATATAAAATTCTATAAAGATGTGTTTACCGAATTAAAAGACAGAATTCAATAGGAAAGTATTTGTACACTCAAAAACCAGTATTGCAAGATAAAATATTTGCGAGATTCTGAGTCACCAATTTTTTGTGCAAAGTTTACAATAATATTCGCCAAATCGACTTTTTATTTATCTTGCAGATATAGAAAGGTCTGTCTTCCATTAAGACAGCAGATTTCTCAAAGGGAAGCAGTATACTGTTGCTTTGGTGCATTTGGTGTATGTTTGGTGTTTACATGGCCTGCTCCTGTCCTTTATGGCTATAGTACTGTCAACACTACGAACCCGAATATCACCGGAATTCGATGTTTCACTGAAGACATATTTAAAGATACAGACTACCAGGCATACTTCAATGTGATTTTGATTCTGGTTATGTTTGGGATGTTTGTTGTATTGGTAGTTTTATATGCCTTGATAGCAAAGACTATTTTAGATAATGATAAAAACAGGAATTCATTTCGGACAATCAAACAAAAGACCAGGAAGACTAACGTCGATGATAAGAATCCTGTTCCAGAAGAAAGAATGCTTAAACAATTGGATACACCAAAGACAGCTGAATTAATAGCTGGTTCAAACAGGTCAACAGATGGTAAAGGAATAAATTTTAATAGGGATTACATGTTCCGTAATAGAAAGGACAACCGTCGATCTGAAATGCAATACAAAAGAGTCAAAACAACAACTTTTATCATGTTCTTAATTACTATATTGTTTTTCATCAGTTATTTCCCGCATCTTATTCTCCAGATTATTACTTATATCGACAAAGACTTCGTACAAAGTATGAATAATGAACAAAAAATTATTTATAATACTTTTCTTTGGTGTTTTTTTATTAATAGCTTTGCTAATTGTTTTATTTATGGGTTCTGTGATGTTGGATTTAGAAGACAGTTGAAGCGATTTTACAACAATTTAATATGTTTGATATGGTATTGAAATCCTTTTTTTCCCCGAGCTTTATCTTTAATCTGTTCTCTCAGTTTTACGTATAAAGTAAAAAGGGATGATTATGGAATTTGTGGTGATATATTTTAAAAAGAGAGGAAATGATTTTCCAAGAGTTTTTTTCTTTGTTGTGAATAAGAAATAAAATCTTTTTTGTTGAATAAAGTCTTTATCACTGAACTAGTATCCATATTTGTTTAGGGGCCAGCTGAAGGACGCCTCCGGGTGCGGGAGTTTCTCGCTGCGTTGAAGACCCATTGGTGGCCTTCGGCTGTTGTCTGCTCTATGGTCGGGTTGTTGTCTCTTTGACACATTCCCCATTTCCATTCTCAATTTTATTTAATCCTTTTTTCCAGTTTTGCATATAATTATATTGAAAATCGGGTATTATTTGAATGTTTTGTGAACATTTGTAATTATTTAGAACTCTTTGAACTGCATATGAATATATAACTAATGATATGATATATGTAGCATTCATACTTCCTTAAATACACTTACAATGTGTAAAATAGACGCTAGTAATTTTTGGGGCCCTTTATAGCTTGCTGTGCGGTGTGAGCCAAGGCTCCGTGTTGAAGACCGTACTTTTACCTATAATGGTTTACTTTCACAAATTGTGACTTGGATGGAGAGTTGTCTCATTGGCACTCATACCACATCTTCTTATGTCTATATAAGTGTATAAATGTAAAAAAAAATGCATAGAAAAGACGCTGCAAATATATATTATTTTCTCTTTAAAAAGAGATTTGTCTGTAAAATAGATGTATAAACATAAATTTCATGCATTAGGGAGCAACCATTTAACTTCAAGGGGGGGGGGGGGGGGTATGTTTTTTTGTCAGAGTCACAAAATTTTTTCCCCGCAATGTGCGCGAACATTTTTTTTTTTTATTTTCGACGGTATCAATCAAATTATTTTTGTCAAAATTTAATACTACAAGGTATGGGGAAAATCTGGATTCAGAACATTTTTGTTGTCATCTGCTTGACCACACTATTTTTTTTCATCAAATTGGGGATCAGAATATTTTTTTATGGCGAGTGACGACTTGATTAGTAGTTGACGTTGTGGTGGTAAACATTTCTCACAAATGACGTTAACGTAATCAAATTTTATTGACGTAGCGTTGTCACTACATATTGATCTGGTCATGGGTGGTCATCAACAAATCCCGTCTGCCTGTACCATTGTTGTAAGGAAAGTTAGAGGAGTTTCTGACCTGAAATTGTGTAGCAATAGCTCGTCCACGTATTCCTGCCTGCAATATTCTTACGGCCTCATTCAGATTTTCCTGGCTCAATCGCAGCAGTATGGAATTGTTTTTACTGATGTTAGTGTGGGTATGGATTGTAAGAAATGTTTCAAGAAGAAAAAATACTTATAAATCTTTCATGGGTTTCAAAAATCGCTTTAAGAAATTCGTGCGACGTCAATAATCCGGTATGTTCAATTACCTCAGGTCCGTCAGCATAGTTTATTAATTAGAACTCTTTGAACTGCATATGAATATTTAACAAATGATATGATACATGTAGCATTTATACTCCCAGAAATACACTTAAAATGTGTAAAGTAGACATACGTGCCAGTTGCAAATATTTTGTCTTTGCATATTATTAATATAAGAACAAATAAATCAATCAGTCTAATACGTTTAGGTTCTATTTAGTGTGTCGACCTAAATTGGGGCGTTAAATTTGGAATGCAATTGGTAATTGTTGAGTAAATATAATTATCTCGAATTTACATGTTTTCAGTGTCGAGAGATATTGAAAAGAAAATCTGGATAGCGGTCAGCCAGACTGAGTTCTCACCCCAAGGTTTTACATTGTATGACTATAAATGATATTAAAACATCTTCTTGAAGAAAATGTATCCCATGAGGCTGTTTACTTTAAATATTTAAAAACATGCAAAATTAAATATTTCCAAAGGCGTTTTCTAAAATTGTATATTTAAAATAGAAAGATTCAAGTTTTACAGCTAACAAGAAAGTCCTAATGATTTGGCAATTATACTTCTGATATTTTATCAAAATACATTGTATAAAAAATAAAGAACTGCGCTATGAGCGCATGATACGCCCGTCGCCTTTTCAACGAATAAAGTTCCATAACTCCTCAATATAATATCAGAAATTTATAAAAAAAAATGAAGGGAGCTTATTTTAATAGATATAAACCAGTTTTCAAAGTTTCATGAAAACTGCTCAAAGCATTTTTGAGTTATTGTCTGAAAACTGGAAAGACGGACAGAAGGACGGACAGACGGACGGACGGACAACGGTATACCATAACACGTCCCTTAACGGGCGTATAAAAACCAGATAGTATGTCGAAAACACTGAAGGTTAATAATAGTTTTACTAAAGACCAGTTTCTTGTATTAATATGACTAAATAAACAAAGATTCAGTCTACCAAAATAAGTCATGTTCTTTTTGCATTTCGCATTGTTTCTTAAGAAACTAAAATCTTAATGTTCATCCGTAATATTCTAATGTGTGCATTTTCATTGTTTATGCTTCTCTGGTTTATGATGAAAATGTTTAAAATGTCTAATTTCAGCGTAAAGATAGTTCCCTGGACTATCTGTTGGACGCTTATCCCTGTGTCCATAAAGCGTGTAATGTGGAGATATTTTACCGTCTTTGATTCCACAAGAGATTATATTCCGCAATGCCTCCAACGCAATCGGTTTCGGTTTTCTGTCATTAAAATTTCCCATAAAAGCAAAAGCTATTGAATTTTCGTTCCATCCTAAAGTATGAGCGCCTACTTTATTCCATCCTCTACCTTCGTATACTCGTCCATCTTCTCCGATCAAGAAATTATACGCAATATCATCCCAATCTGGAAAATATATAGAACTACTTTATGGCGACTTTACTTTTTTACATTACTGTGTTACATGTAAATTGTCAACGTACTCCGTATTAAATTTATCAATAAATCAACCTTAAATTATACACTGTATCCATGTCATGAAATAGAAGTTCCTTCATAATATAAGTTCATAGCGGAAGAAATATTTTGTAATACTATTTCCACTAGACAAATTTGTTCCTTACAGAATAAAGGGTATAGAACATCTGTTCCTGTTGGACATTGCGCACATTGCACGGAAAAAATGTACAGAAGGGACGCAACTTAAAGGCGGTTGTAAGACTGGTCGCTTTTTGCACTTCAATATTTAAATTGAACAAAAGATTTTTTTTATATAAAATTTAATACTCGATATTGGCCAAATTCTTTATCCTGCTTTGTGCGTTAAACAGTAGGGAAATATGTCGTGATTACATCAATGCTGTTTTAATAGAGATGACCAGGATATTGACGAACGAACGTACGAAAGCGTAACTTGACGAATCGTACGCAACGGCAGTTGCTGTTTATACATAGTACATTAAAAGTATAAATCTAACATAAAAACGCATGTTGAAGTAAAGTAATTCGCATCGTCTGCATTTAGCTTACATGAAATATTTCCTGTCTCTGTGGCTAACTCCTCGTGTTGAATTAATGATTTATAATGCAATATTTTCAACAGACGCAAAAGGTGCATTCGATATACAAGACTGCATTGAAAATTGAGTTTCCAAAAGGGATTTAAATGAGTTACGGAGGTAATACAAGGGTGATAGCATAGATATCGAAGCTTTTTGAATTGATATGATTGATGATCAATCTTAAATTTGTTTTCTTTTCACCAATTTTAGTTGGCGTATGCCCCCAGACCAGTCGAATTACATGTAGGCTGGGTGCAGAGAACCCCTGCCCATATTTAAAAAAAAAGGGTAGCCAAAAAAGTATTTTTTGAATATTTAGTGATAAAAAGTTGATACTTCTAAAGACATTGAAGTTAAGTATATTGAGACATTGATAATCAAATAGGAGTTGCGACTCGGCTTTTGCATCTGTGATGCTCATTACATTTTCTGATAGCGAATTTATACGAAAATCAACGAGTTAACAGACTGAAAACAACAACAGATTCATGTATAAACGCTCAATTTATCTAGCAGACCACGTCAGATGAATTACATACTGATTAGAATCCAATTTTCTTGGTACAAATGGATATAACTCTAGGAAAGTTGGACCAGACCATCCTACTCACGCGTACAGATTGATCTAAAGTACGTTTCACCTTGCTGAGTATCACATTATGGTAAATCTGATAGTATAAGGATAATATCATTTTGAAATTTTGATTTAAACATACTTAAGGCAACTAATTGTTGTGACATGTTTCCCACTACTGTGGCTTGTTCTGTACTCGTTTGGGAATCGACAATTTCGTGACAAAGCTTAAGTTAGTTTTTGATAGGTACAAAAATAACTTATTTTCCAGTGATTTCATGTTAACTATTTTTCAACACTATAACAATAAGTTTATAACTAGCCGAAATCGTTTCTACATTCCAAAAGTTAATAAAAAAAGACTTATAGGACCAAAAAGGTTTATTATTGGGAGGGACAGAAATACCCTGTTTTCCCACGTGAGCTGAGCAAAACGGAAAGGCAATACATCAGCATTCCGAAATAAACAAAAGTTGACGTACCATCATCTTATAGATCATATTATTTCCCTTCTGTGTATTTTGTGATATCAATGAAACTTGAAATACCTCAATCGGTGAAACGTATTTCAACAATTGCAAAACAAAAACATGTCAGAGGAGATGCAATGATTATGTGCATACTGGATAGGATTAAAATTTATAAAGTTCCGTATATAGTCGTAAGGTTTTAATAAAAAGTTGTCTTCGTATGCGTTATTAATAGACCCTTGTGTCTAGTTAAATCCCCTTTGGAAAAAAAACGTTATTTACCCTAAGACTTATGACTAGTGTTTTTTTTTTTACACTTAACAAGGTTTGCCATCCTCAGAGGTTGACAGATATGATAGAAAAAAAAGACAGAAATCATTATTTTCAACTGGTTCAAAATACTATATGTTTTTTTTTTGTTTTAAATTGATAGATTTTTATGTTTGAAACTTGATTGATTTATTTATTGTTGGTTGTTTAACGTCCAGTGGCAAATGGTCCATGCATGTTTAGGATGAGAACAAATTAACAATAAATGCAATGTAATAGAGGCCGTAGGTCGGGTAAATTTAACTTGCCATTGGAAAACGAGGGTTAATTGGTTAGGGACAGAAATTTATCCCTGGAACAGGCCACCTACGTATACGGAACCCTCACAGAATTGCTGCAAGGGTTCTTAACGTGCAGAGAGCGTGACAATCTCTCTACACGAGGCATCGGATTAAACGCCCCCATTCAGAGCGGCGTGGCTGCGTACTTGTACATCCTGCACTACCAAACGGACGCCCCACTTTGGCAAAGGTTTTACTGCGGATCGGACGAAGACATGTAGTGACTATATTTCAATTCCCCAGTCACCCTTGGCGGGGGGGGGGGGGGGGGGTGAAACTTGAATACCCAAATGAAAAACATACGATCCGACAATAGTAATTTAGTAATCTCATAATTTAATAAATTGTTTCAAATCATCGAAATCTTGGATAAAAATTTGTTTGAGCATTGCGAAAGTCGTCGGTGTACTCGAATAATCCTATGTGTGGTGTACTTTTCATCATGCTTTCAATAATAACCGCATTGTATCGTAAGATGTGTAACACTTGCAGAAAATTTTAAACGTCTTTCATTTATATTATGAAAACCTTTTTAAAATCGGTATATTTTATACGTTTCTCTCTATTATCATGATTACATGCCATCCAAATAATAATATCTTTAAGTTTAAAGTACGTTTTGTAAACATACAAGTACCGCTCCTATTACGTTCGTTCGTCGAGAAATGTTCGTTCGTCAATATCCTGGTCATCTCTATGAGTATATATTTCGTAGGGGCATTATCTATCAAATTCATGATCACCGATTTGACTTAAATTCTCATATTTGATTCCACTGGACGTTAAGCAACCAACAATCAATCAATCAACCATATTTGATTCATAACATACTAAAACGTAAATCCAAATTACAAAAAGTAAAAAAAAAACAAAAACAATTAACCCTGCAAGGACTCATTATAATTATGTATTTCGTGCGTATTTAATGCTGCGTTCACACGTAATTCGAATTCGATTCGCATTAACTAATTCGAATTAGTTTAATTCGCATTCGAAACGTTTAACGTCCAAACGTAAATTCTAATTCGAATTGCAATGCGCGTCAAATTCGCTTTACTGTCCTAACGACGTTAACTTTTAATTCGTATTAACAAAAACGCATTTCTAATGCGAATTGGATAATGCGATTTAGCCAATTCAAATCAATTCGAATTAAAAAAGAAGAGAGTGTGAACGCGATTAGCGAATTCGATTCGCATTCGATTCGAATTAAATGTACGTGTGAACGATGCATTAGACTAGACGCTATCTAATAACCATCGAAATTATGTCCGAAGACTGCCGATAGCCATTTGACCCGATATAAATATAAATAGACAGTCAAGGACTTTGAGTTGTGTAACTACGATTTGTCCAGGTCTGTTTGATTTCATGTCATAGATTTAAAAAATGTAAATTATCTTTTAACTTGTATATGAATAATTTCTTGTGGTCCGAATCAGTCAACGAAATGTTTCTTTCTGGTGGCTCCATTGTCAAATCAGTGAAAATGAATTTGACAGATTTACATGTATCATTCAGGTATTCATACACTGTGTATAACATTTATACATATGTCACACTGTAAACATATGAACTGAAAACAGGTTAATTTAGTTATAGGAAAGCAGGAGATGTTGCACAAGCTTTATGTGGACACTGGAATTCATTTTACTAAAAATTTATGCATTCTGCAGTTGCCAATTAGAGAGCAAATATACAGTAGTAAATTGTATAACAAAAAAATGTTATTGAAAATGATAGCATTATTTATCCTAAGTGAGACAATAGGAAAATAAATGTCTCATAAAATATATTGGTACGCGCACAAGTGAAGAAAAATGTGATGGGTAAAACCAGGTTTTACAAGACAAACTCTTCACTTGTACTCATTGTTCCATTTGTATCGACACATTAGAGAAGAAACAGAATTACCATTGACTGAATTGGAGGGAAATTCCTGTTGAAAAATTCAAATGAAAATAGAGATTCATATGTTTTTCCTGTATTCAAAAAGACTGATGATGATCGAGCCTTGATACGACCTTTGCAGAAATGAGTTTAACCGTTAAAAAGGAAGTGACGAACCATTCATCATTATTGGAGTGTATCTTCTTTATTTTGTTTTTGGTTATTCCAATAAATAGCTTTTGCATATAATAATAATGAACTAAAAGAAGATATTTTCGTTATACATAAGTGTTAATCTAACTGGACACCTTATATATATATTACGTGTATCCTTTTAAGTTATATAAAAATAGACATACTGTTTCCGTCCATATGAAAATTTTGAATAACTCTGGCAGTCTGTGCACATTCCGTCTGATGTTCACAATGATGTCCTGCTGTGTTATGTATGAAGACATTCATTACAGGGTTCGATAGCAGCTCTGTTTTCCGTGGAAGCCTAGCAGCCCATTCATTTCGTGTAACCAGGGAAGTATTGTCACATGCTATCGTCTCTGAATGAAATAAACAACAATCATGTTCTTATAATACAGAAAGAAATTAGTTCATTCCTCCTTATTTGTTTCATTATCAGAGTGTATATAATCCTACTTGTATTAGAATAATGGAGACTTAATAATATGCTTAGAGCTATTTTCCTAATGCTTGTTGTTTAAAGGTTTGGTTGGCTTGCTTGCTTTGTTTGTACAAATGTTAAACTTTGCTCAGGCATTGTAATTAAGATTGACATCTGCAATCTATAGATAGGTGGGGCTTCAGCTTGTATACATTATACTTAAATGTTATTGGATGTTAAGTATAATACAGAGTATAATGTAAACAAGCTGAAGCCCCGCCTATCTATTGATTGCAGATGCCAATCTTAATTACGATGCCTGAGAAAACATTCATACAAACGAAGCAAGCAAGCCAACCAAACCTTTAAACTACATGCATTAGGAAAATAGCTCTAAAACAGTTTCTTATTTTTCATTTTAATCTCTCCAAAAGCAAAACTTTAATCAGCTGTTTCGTTGCTTGGATGTTAATTTCAAAATATCAAAAAATAACGTTTACTTAAAATTGTTACTGAAAACCATTAAATTAGAAATACATTCGAGCACATTTATCAGAGTTATAGATTAGATTTTTAGTGCCCCTTCTAATGATTGTTCATGAAAAAGATCCAATTTTGCTAAAATTTGTCAACATTTTTGTTTGTAGTTCAATGGATTATCAAAATCCCTAAGAAGTCTAATTCTACGAATTTATACGAAAATATTTTGTCCTTCTTAAAAACACGTATATAGGCAGTGGCCGTATTTGTTTGCAAATTTACAACCATACAATATATCCTCAAGTTAGGACCATCTTCGGACCATTTTAAGCCACCTACGTTAGTGTTCTAAACTTAGGATATTTCCAAAGTTATCGGTCACATTTGCATTTGAAAAACCCACTTGGGCAAAGATATGTCACAAGATGGTCTTATATGTAGGACATGTCCCAATCATAAGACCTGTTCGATTAACAGACCCCAGGTGACAGAAGTTACTTTAAGCTTTAAACATATTTTTTAATCTCATTTTATTCTCATTGGTATAATAATCCATTTTAATGAAAGTGAAAATTTTATTTGCAACACAGAAAATGAAAGTAATGAACGGAACAAATGAAAAAAATATACCTTCTAGTCTATTTCCAAAAAGTAATTTTTCCATAAAAGTAACAAGATATATGTGGTACTGAGTTTTTGCTAGTTCTTGGAAGCCGAGATAAACCACTGGTATTAGAATGGCTAAAACTAATACCAAAACTGATACCACCATCGCTATTGAAATATTGTAACATGATAATCCACGCGATGATATCCTATCCTCCATTGTGTTTATTTCATGTTCTTCGATGATTTTGTCTTTTATTATGTCGATATAATTTTTTTCTTTAAATATCTTAATTTTAACATAAGCATCTTTCGCCTCTTTATACGACCAAACGCAGGGAGTTTGTAGCAAATCAAGCATATCTTGGCAGTATTGTTCTTTTTCTACTTTTGTTACATCCCTTACATTATGAACAATTTTGTTACGGATCCGTCTTATTCTGTCTGGATCTACTTTAGAGTTTTGTAATAACGCACGTACATCGTTGCAATTTATTAGTTTCCCGATCAGAACAGAAACATCGTCGGGATTTGGATTTGCACCTTTCAAACTATTACACCAATTAGGGTTGTAGCATTTTTCAACTTCTTTTGAATCTGTTGGCCATTTTGAAGAATTTATCTTAGACCAATCATATCCTTGTCTTCCTATCACAGACCTATTTTTATGCGAACAGAGTATCGTTGTCCTCCATCCTGAACACGTGCGGCACCAGTTTTGTTCATCTTTAAACAGTATACTGCACGACACTGTACCTGTACAAGGTTGATTCAAATGATGTAGCCTGTTCACGAGTCTAATATGATGCTGTTTGAATTCATCGTCTGTAAACTTACTTATTCCATCGACCATATATTCCAGAGAAAATAATACTGAAATCACATTTTGTTTCTTATTATCGTCGAACTGCATTTTCGCCATTTTTTAATGAATAGATTACAATTCCAAAAATATATTAGAAATGTAGTTACATATACCGGAAATACGAGCGTGTCTAACATATACACAACCATATACATAAATAATCAATTATATTTAAATGTATACTATATATAGCGTATACATACTGTTAATCCAGGCATATAAAATACGGATGTGTAAACGCGGTAAAGGTAAGTCAATAGAAATAGATTTATTATGAAATTTTGTGAGAGTGGCTGTTCCCCGGCTACTTAACTTCATATTAAATGCATTTCGATTGACTAACCAATTTAGCACATAATGTTTTGATTAATCTATAATTGATAGTAAATTTATCTTTGCTGACTACTAGTCTTGTTTAACCACTCTTTTACAGGGACTTGTTAAAGATGAAAGTGATTTATGAAAGAATTGTTTTATTCAAAGAGCTGTTAACTCTAGAATGAAAGAATTGAAGCCTACTTGTGACGCCATGTATTTTGATATAAATAGATGTCAAAGTTTCGCATGTTAACAGTGTGACAGAATATAAGTTCCCCCATAATATTTGTTCCAAAGAACTTTTAGCATATAACAAAAGTTCCATTGGGAACTTTCCTTATATAATATTTTATCCAATGCTGTAAGAACATTTCCTTCACAAAGGATAAAACATTACATAAGGAAAGTTCCCAATGGACCTTTTGTTATATGCTAAAAGTTCTTTGGAATAAATATTATGGACAATATTTTATATAATAAAAGTTCCAGGAATATTTGTTATATTATAAAAGTTCCAGGCATAATGGAATATTGGCTATATTATAAATGTTTCAGGAATAGTTATCATATATGGTTATTAGATAATCAAAGTTCTAGAAATATTTATTATATGATCAAAGTTCTAGGAATATATACTACAATATCCAAAATTATTTCTAGCTACAAATGTATGGAAGTAAATTTCCAATGATAAAGTACAGGCATTTTCATCTGAAATTTGTCGCTAACTTCATGCTTGACTAAGGTATAAGCTAAACTTTCTTCATTGGTACAAACTAACGGACTATTTATTTAAGTAAGTCACAGTGGAGCATGCAGTGATAAAATATTAAAAATATATATTCTTACCTTGTTTAGAATAAGAGCCATCGTTTAAATATGTACAATTTTTGTTGTATTCTTCAGACTCCATTCTTTGTATGTACTACATGTACAAGTAAATGTCATGTGAGGTGAACATTAATTAAGATGTAATCAGGTGTAAAAAATCAAATGACACTCTTTCTTTAAAGGAACAAATATTATGAAACCATATGACGTTTTAGTTCCAGGAAAATATCTTGTGAAGGTGGAAATAGTATTATGTAATGTTTGTTCCCAAGAACTTTCATTATCCATAGTTTTGTTCCAGGGGGGAACAAGTATTATGCGGAACAAATATATGTTCATAACAGGACATAATGGTACAAAAACAGGTACATGAATTTTCGTTTCAATGATATAAAATAATAATAGGGTCACCGACTTCGTTTTTACGGTATAGTGTACATCATTCAAAATGGTGTTCTAGGTGGAAACAATACCTCAAAACGTCGAAATAGGCGTAACGTCATCGCATTGTAGGCAATAAAACGTTAATTTTTGACTTTTTTTCACATGTAACAGATTGGTTAAACACCAAAAAAAAAAACGAAGTCGGTGACTGTATGATTATTTCAAATCATTTAAACGGAAACTTATCAGCAACATACGATTTTTAAAGAAAAATCTATGGATTTTGAATTGGAGATTTGATGATTTTAAGACAAATTTCAGAACGTTTTACGCCGATTTTATTTGTTTTATATACAAAAGTTCACCTTTTTTTGTAAACAAAATCAATTAATAATATATCAGATAATAAAAGAGATAAAGGCATTATTTTTGACGATTGTCAGTATTAATCCAAGGAGCCAAAGTTGTATGGAAATTTTTACCCAATCTGTGACATAGCCCATTTACTGTAAATTGACCTTAAGAGTTAGAATTCTGTCATTAGAAGTTCCAAATTCAGTGCGCTTTAGACAGTCCAGTAGGAAATATGATGAATATTTTTCTAATGTTATGCCTTGAAAGTACTAAAAAAATGTGAATTTTCATTTCAGTTCGTAAATATTTCCGATTCACAAAAAAACCCAGTATACAATAAAAAAAAAATCATTTTTAATCATGAAAATAGCACTTTATAATGTTGGTGCGACTGAAGCTCTTTTCTGACATTCAGAATTGATCAAACCCATCACATTGAATGCTGAGGAAGAATTACTACTTGGATACGTGAGAATCTTGCATTTGTCTGACGAAATGGGACCTACATGGTATAGCTAAATCCATCGTAGGTCAAGTTTGCCCGAGGGAGTTGAAACCGTAGTTTCTCGGTAATATTTTTAACCGAATAATTAAAGAAAGATATATATGCTATGAATCATGTCTATACCAAAACACTGACAACTGAATTTGTGATATCCTCAGGGACCAGTAGACCCAGTGCTTTCCAAATAAAAATAACCTTTTTTAATTTATGTGCGTCCGGTGCGCTTTTTTGAACTCTAGACGGTGTTTTATATTTACTAGAAAACAAACGTCATTAACTCTTTTTCATAAGTTGGGCAAGTTGGTAGTCCTTAATGCAGTAAGATTTTATTCTTTTTTTCACAAGTGTCGCGAGTTGGCAGACCTTTATTCATCGCGATTTAACTCCTCTTCATAAGTGGGTCGAGTTGGTAGTCTTAATGCAGTACGGTATAATTCTGTTTTCATTAGTGGGGCGAGTTAGCAGACCTTTATTCACCGAGATTTTACTTTTTTTCATACTGAGTGGGGCGATTTGGTAGGACTAAATTCATCGAGATTTTACTATTTTTCATAAGTTGGGCGGCTTGGCAGACCTTTATTCATCGGGATTTTACTCTTTTTCATAAGTGGTTGGCCGGACTAAATTCAACGAGATTTTACCCTTTTTCATAAATGGGGCGATTTGGTAAACCAGTGTGTGGCGAGTAGGTAGAAAGTGGGGCGAGTTGGTGAAAAAGTGGGGCAATTTGGCAGTGGATGAGTTGTCATGGATTCATTTTAATCATGAACGGTCAAACCCAAAATTTGAAAGCCAAAGACATATAACTATTATTATCAAACGGGACCTAACATTTAGATGAGTATATACAGTTTCTTAATAAATATATGTAAAAACTGACAGTGTCATAATGATCATAAAGATAAGAATATGTAGTACTAAGGGAAATTCATGATGTACTACCAGATACCAGATATTAATATATATATATATATATATGTACATGTATCTGTCCGAACTCAGCATCTGTAAAGTTCATTCATTTTACAGGGACGATACGCCAAGTTTATCACCAGTTGATTGATGAGGGTGTGTGGTAGCTGGTAATGTTTTGGTAACTTTCTCATTAACTAGGATGCATCTGTTGGTAATTTTTCATGTTTGTTTGCTTCACTTCAATCAGTAGTTTGTAGAATTTTGTAGCGACAGATGTGCGATATCAAACTTACGCACCAGCCTCCCCGTCACCTTCAAATATTAAGGGCATACGATACAGTTTTGATCTCACGGTGATTTTTTGATGAAAATTTGCTTACAAGTTATTTTTCACCTAGTCAACTCAAAAATGTAATATTAGTTACATAGTATGCTAGTGATCTAATACGATATATATGGGGTCAGTAAATTCCATATGGGGTGAGAGCGAAGCTCGAATACGATATATATGGGGTCAGTAAATTCCATATGGGGTGAGAGCGAAGCTCGAATCCCCATATGGTATTTACTGACCCCATATATATCGTATTAGGTCACTAGCACACTATGTAACGAATTCATCTTACCGACTATCTTAACATGTGGTATTTAGACTAGTGGCCTATCAAAGTGATCAAGTCTTCAAAACCGTTAGTATTACGAACCTACTTACATTGGTCTATACAAAAACAAATGCCAACAATAACAACTTGTCAGCTTTAAATGTGTTTTATGAATTTTTTTCAATCGTTCATCATCCTTTAAGATTATTCCTCATCCGCCGTGTTGTTTTTATAAAGGGACGTAACACCACTACTAACCGTGTATTGAAATAAGCCCCGCCTACTAACCCAATATGGAATATACACGGTCTCCACGCGGTTGCTTTTAACCAATCATATTCCTAGAAATGTATAGGAGGTAAGATAATAAAAGATATACCTTCATGCGCTACTTTTAGAGATAAATGGGTCGAAATTTTAGACGTTTACTCAAAATTTCTGATTCTTGGACATTTCTATCTTTTGAACAGACATACCTAACTTTTTTTGTTTCGGCAAAAAATAATCACAAGCAGATTTTTGTAAAAACATTTAGAATATCGTCTTTATATAAGTAAACTCTAAATTTGTGTAACAATTCTCTGAAAATCTTTTTTATAATTTTTTCATGATTTAAAAAAAAACGGCATTTTTTGCTGTATATTTATCCAATTTAAAAAAAATTCATCCGTGATTTCTCCATAAAAATTGGTACAAATAATCTTCATACATAGTCAAGCCAAATCTCATTTTGAAAAAGCGGGGTTCATGTACTCGTTTTCAAGCTAATGTTTAAAATCAGTCGAAAAATGCATCTTTTCCCGATATTTCAGTTTGACGTCGCGAAAAATAGCATTTTACGTTAGCGACGTCATTTTTTCGATCACGTATTAATTGTTAATAAGATATTTTTTTTGGGGCCAAAACATTTGTTTTCCAGAGTAGTCAGGGTGCCATCGTACCTTAACGAAGAATAGCTTTAATCTGGATTGGTCATCAGCTCTATTTCACGTCGGTCTATACCCACCTAGATCTACTCTAATGCGGTACCACGTGAAAAATCAAGTAAGAATATACCGCTAGGGAACTGCTTGCTAACATACTCTGGGACAAGTAGGCATGGTTTAGTAGTACAAAACATTTGTATTCACATACCCCTATGGTGACGTATTTCTGTCAAAGATATGCGGCTAGCTCATGCACAGTTTTTTTAGCGGCAAATTAGGGTTAATTATCTGAGAACACACTAACATTTTTTGTAATATAGCTTGTACATACTGCGTGTGTTTTGTGTCAACTGTGGATGGCATATACTTTGTTTATGTTCTTGATTGCAATAAGACCGAACTCAGTAAATTATGCCAGAAGAAAACATATCCTCATGCATTCACACAGTGTGTAATGCGCACTGCTCGAATAGTTAACTATAATTATGGCGTCATTTCGTAATGATTCATTTATTAACAGGACAGTTTTTCATTCAATAACTCCAGTGAAGTTTCTGTAACATAACGTGTTGAGCCCAAATATTTTGAATATTAAAATTATATTTTTCAAATCGTGTGTTATTTCAATACTGCAACGACATTTAAGTATGTGTGAAATATTTACCACTGGACGTTATCAGCACAATCATTCACTAAATGACTTTCAATTGGTTCAGTGCCTATGATCGTAACTCTACAATTAACTTATGTGTTATCTAGGGTTATTAACTTATGATCTGTGGTCAAGGCTAACGTCTATATCGGTGTCTAATGTGTGAAATCACACAAGGAATTATGTAACTAATAGGTTTACGGTCAGCATACTGAGGTCAGAGTATTTATATTAGTTTTGGTCTGCAATAACAGTTTTCAATGGGATTATTTATTGTCGACGCTCGATTACATTTTATCAATTGCGTCTGAAACATTATATATAAAACACCTTTGTCGATAACCGTATGTAAGGTAGGAATTGCAACTTGATACATTTTTAAAATCGTTCCGTTTTTTTACTTTTGCTATTTCAATGTTATTTTCCATGTAGGTTAATCAGATATAACAAAATACTACTAAAGTATCCGAATTCAGTTCCAAGTCAGGAGCCTGTAATTCAGTTGTTGTCGTTTGTTGCTGTATATCATATTTGTATTTCGTCATTGTTTTTTACATAAATCTGGCCGTTAGTTTTCTCGTTTTAATTGTTTTACATTATCATTTCGGGGCCTTTTATAGCTGACTATGCGGTATGGGTGTTGTTCATTGTTGCAGGCCCAGCGCTGTACATCCCTATATATTGTAACAAAACATGTTTTGCCGAGAAAAATTGCAGAACAATATTTTTCCTTTTTTTTCTTCTTTTTTGTCAAAATGTTTGATGGTCAAGACATGTTATAACTGGCATTGTTATTTTATCGGATAGAAAAAACTATAAACTAAGAAATAATATTAACTACTAAGAAATTGTAAGATAACAGCATCAGCTGAACGATACCGTTTATATGTTCCTTAATTATGGTGATAATGTTTGAAATTTCTGAGTTCAGCATAAAGATAGTTTCCTGGACTATCAGTTGGGCGTTTGTCTTTATGTCCATAAAGTGTATAGTATGGTGAAATATGCCCATTCTTGATACCACTGGACATTGCATCTCTTAAAGCCTTTAATGCGAGTGGATTAGGTCTTCTATCATTGTAATTTCCAAGAAACGCGAAAGCAACTGAATTTTTATTCCATCCTAAGGTATGTGCACCGACTTTGTTCCAGCCTCTTCCCTCGTACACACATCCATCTTCTCCAATTAAAAAGTTGTAACCAACATCATCCCATTCTATAACATACAAAGGAAATATAACATTAGAAAATAAAATAACGGCACAACTATAATAGTTCTTTAAATGTTTTCAGAAATAAAAAGAACAAATGGAGTAACCGTACTGTTTTCTTGCTATATAACAATTTAAAAAATTTTCACAGTACATTACCTTATAGAATTTATCTATCTGAGTTGTTTCCCCTCAGAAAGCAAGGTTGTCCAAATTTTTGAAGCATTATAGATTTATTCTGTATTCGTAAAAGCATGGTTATCATAAGATAAAGACACATAGTTTTCTTCATATAAATAAAAATTACCACAAATAAATTGCATTGATGCATCAAATTGATTTATTTCATTAACAATCTAGATAGCGAAAGACTATCACACGACTGTGCGGGATTCTCTTGTGTGGTCGATGTCGTTAGACATACCATAGCAGTAGTGAATTTAAGCGACAACACAAGATTGAGACAGACCGGCAAAAAAAGAGAAAGCCAAACAATCAATAGTGATGTTCGTACTCACGATACGTGTTCCTTGTATAACTTTCAAAGTTTGAAATGTTAAAAATGTCAAATATATATGACCAGCATTAAAATCAAATGGGTCTAAACAAAATCAACAAAAACCGTCGAAAGTCAGCTTTTCCTGGTGACGTTACAATCTGAATCTAAACATCCCTTAATAATTTCTGGAAGTTTTACAAACATTACCATTGATACCAATATGGCATGCTACCTTCGGTGTCTGATATTTAACAGCAACAGTAAGGACAAGTGGCTGTAAAAAAATTATATGATTTCAGTGCGCACAGCACGAGTAATCTTAACCAAAAGTTTGAGAGAGCCAAAAATATATTATTTATGGAAAGCATGATAAATTATCATGATACTTTTTTCATATATGATGACAATGAGAAAACTCAATAATCTCATATATTTGTTCCTCATTAATATTTATCAACGAGTCAACAAGAAGCATTATACAATGCAAAAACTATCTGAGGGAATTAAACCTACTATTATCGTCCATATGCAAGTTCTGAATACTTCTAACAATCTGGGAACACATTTGTGTGTCTTCGCCATGTAATCCAGCAGTATGGTGTACAAGGACATTCATGACAGGTTTTTCCATGAACTCTATACTTTTTGGTAATCTTGCTCTCCATTCGTCTCTTGTGATCAACGAAATGTCTTCACAAATGTCATCTGAGTAATACAATAGAAACATACAGATATATTTTTTAAGAATCAGGAAAATATAACAGGAAAAAGAATAAAACTATTAGTAACTATACACATTAAAACTTAATGTAACATGATACAACTATGGTGTCAATTGTCTTAAATGCCTGTCTATAGGCTGTGTCGCAAAGCTTTTATGTGGGATTTGAACATTTCCAACAGATAAATAAGAACATGGAGTATTGACGTAAAAACAATCATGACTAAATATAATCTACTAGACGTGTATACCAACCTTAACTCAGAACGACGATCAATGACTCATATCCTATCTTTTATAAAGGACAATCTCATCGAACTCCATCAACAGCAGTGATTAAATGCGTTAGAAGATATGCCTAAATAACGCACTTACAAAAGCATTTAAACCTTACACCCCAGTTGTATTGTTATACTTCATAGTTTCTATTTCTGAAACAAGTGTAAATTGAATAGATCTATTGTTACGAATAACAAAGGATTTTGACCACAGGGTGTGACGAGCGGGGTTTCTGGAAACCCCTGCTTCTACATCCCGCAAACAAAGTCCATTGTTATTCGTAACAATAGAAATTTATTATTTTTTAGATAGCATGAACATAAGAAATTACTAATAGTGTTCACTACAAATTGTTTCATGATATTAAAAAAAAACATTTTAGGAAATCCCAATAGCGAAAAAAAAATTAAGCATCTATTTTGAATACAAAAATAATCCTTTAAATACTCCTTTGCTTGAAGGTATTTTTTTTATCCCAGTCATATGTCTCTATTCTAAAGCATTGGTCTTTAAAAAAATGGGGATTCTTACTCCCGGGACCCCCCCCCCCTTACGGTTACCCATTGGCCGATCTGGGGGTGGGGGTTCCGCGGTTTGGACCCGACTTTTATTTAAAAGATCAATGCATTTGAATGGTTGGACCCCCCTTTTTTCTCTTGAGTTGGGAACCCCCAGCTGGATCAGCCCCTGTTTGCCCCCAAAAAGGGAGTTCCTAAATATTAAATCTGTATCTTTGTATGTTGAGCGTGTCTGGTAATCTGGTCACACCTATCCCTTAGTATGTCCGAATATGAATGTTTATTTATTCTCGAGAAGAGGGGGGGTTATGAATCCGTAAGATATAAAATACAGTTATGATTACCTTTATTACACTGATACAGGTAAGTACTTTGGGTTATAGTATTGCCTTTATCTTAAGTCTCTTCTACCAAATCCAACGCTTGCCACAAAATGTCGTCCGTCTTATACCCGTACATATTGACAACTGCATACAAGGAGCATGATGTATTTTTGTTTGTAATAAGAATACACGAAACGGTCAACCTTGACCCGCTGATCCATTTTAGTACATGGATTTAACGGGAATATGCAAAACAACTTTGACATTTGTAAAATATAGTCACTTGTCAAAGTTTGAACAAAGATACCCTAAGAAAGGTTACTAGTGGGGTTTCATGTAATAGAAAAAAAATTCTTATAAATCATGGTTTAATATTGTCAATAAATATGCTATCGGTTTTTTTTTCATTTAATAATCAATGTTAAAAAATATAGGGTATAGAATGGGGTGTAAGTTAGTTATACACCTCGGGATACGGCGTGTCTGGATAAGAAACCCCTCCGGCCTCCGGCCGACGGGGTTTCTTATCCAGACACACCTATCCCTCGGTGTATAACTATTACTGATTACAAGGTAGAGCCATACTTGAAAAAATGTTTGTCAAGACAACAAACTTCTGTGTTAGCCCGGATGCGAAGCGGAACTTTACCTCTAGAGATTGAAAAGGGTAGATTTCGAAATGTGCCACTTGACCAACGCCTATGTAAATTGTGCAAGTCTCAATCCATAGAGGACGAATTCCATTCTATGTTGTATTGTAAACGCTATGAACAATTGAGAACAACACTATTCAATGACATCCGAGACAATTACAACATACATGTAGATTTAAATACGCTACCAGTGAACATCAGATTACAACATTTATTTTGTATTTACAGCAAGTTTATTTCTAACTTTATTTTGAACTGTTTTACTATCAGACAATCAGTGGTCAATTGACACCGTGTCTTGCTATATTTTCTTCTTAATTTGAACTTCATTTATTTATTTATTTTTCTTTTCAATAATGAAAACACATGCGTATCATATCATATGACAGTGCATCATAAGCCTATTTGGCTGGCTGAAAATCACTTTTTTATTTGAATATAAGTTATATATATAGATCGCCTTTTACGAATTAACTTATTTAATTCACAAAAAGCGTAGCTTTGAGCGGATTAAATATGTTAATGAGTAAGGTGGGGCTATATATGTTTTGTAACATTAATGGGCGATGACACATGTCAAAGGTTAAACTGAACTGTACTTTTCATGAATTGAATATGTCAATCATAATTATAGTGGCGTATTCTATGACAAAATGTCTCTCATTTTCAGAAAATAAACTCATGGATCAGATTGTTTAGTAGGATTTCATTTTATGATACATGTTCATGTAAATGAATTGTTGCCGCAATATTTTCATCAAGGTTTAACGAGCAAAGAGCGATGTGTGTGTTATCGAAGTCTTGCCCCCCGTTTTTCCTCCGAAAAATCTCGAGGGAATAGATGTAAAATCCTGTTTGATGTATACCTTGTTACCTGCTTTCAAACCCAATAGGACGTGTAGTTTAAGAAGAGTTAAAAGTTGTGATAAGAAGGAAACGTTTTTTTTTAAATATTCTTTCTTTCTCATCATTAGGAAAAAGATCGATTAATTGATGGGTTGTTGATTGTGTAAGGTCCAAGGACAAATATTTAAAGCATGCTCAATGCATGGAGATATACATTTGAAAATTTCAGGAAATGAAACGACTGAACATCCAGTGACATATTTTTGGAATATTTATTTTGACACGATAAAAACAAGTAAAGTTTATGGAATCATTTTTAATTTAGGGTTAGGTTTACAAGTTTGACTAGTGTATGGGTAAGGTCATTGGTTTCATTGTTTACTATGCCAAGAAGGCGGAGCCAGACTGTTCAATAACAACTTTTGAGATGGAAGTTAGAGCACTGGTCTAAGCTCCTCCCATTCTTTGCTTTTCCTATGAGAAGTGGTCTACGGCGGGATTCGAACGTTCATTCAGTTAATGCACTCCTCTAAAACTTACAGAAGTTAACTTACTCGAAGATCAAAGGAATAATTACCATTCATGTTACAATTGTTTGTTATCATTCAGGTTGTACGTTAATCTGGGACTATTATACTAACATATTATGCCCCAGCTTTAATTTAAAATATTAATCATTCATTTATTCAGTAACTGTTTATACTGACAAAGTATTTCAAACAGAACAAGGACAATATGATATGAAGAGAACATTTATTTGGAAGATGCATTGAATATACCAAAGTCGATATTCATGGTATCATTCCCTTATAGCCGCCGAAGCTCTTTTATTTATAAGAGGGTAAAAATTAGATATCTCTTTTTAATGGAACTTACGAAAAGTGACTCAATTGGACATTAAAACATTAAAAAATGGGGATTCTCACTTATATTGTCTGGATAAAGTAGGTGATACAAACATTTGTTGAATTTATTCGGGCAGTATCAGTTTGGAGAATTCAATAAAAAAACGCTTTTTAAATCTGACTTAAATAGTTATCGTTTTGGGTGTCTGACATTTAACCCTCTTTTCAACCCAAGTCTTATCAAAACCGAAGCAGCTAGATACAATATATGTGAAAATATAGAGAAACAAATCCTTTGCTTAACACAAACGTGCTTGTCGGTGCGTGTGCGTGTGTGTTTCATAAGGTACCTTATAAGGTTGGCGAAATAAAGAAAAAATTACCTTCCAGTCGTTCTACAAAAAGTAAACGGTCCATAAAAATGACAACGTAAGCATACAATTGTGTTTTCGTGATTTGTAATATGCCTAAATAAATCGTCGGTATTAGGAAAGCTCCTATTATCACGCATACAGATATGATAGACATTGTGTAAAATGTTCTATCAAATCCAACGTAAATCAAGGAGAACAAGAAAATTCCAATTAACACCAATGTAAATATCCTGGATAGGTTATAAACCCTGGATGTACGTGTTTTTATTCTTTCTTTTAGTTTGTTCAGCTCATGTTCCACTATAATTTTATTCTTAATTAAATCCATATAATCATATCTCATAAATAATTGAATTTTGCTATGAGCTTCTTTCGCCTCTTGATATAGCCAAACTTCGGGTGTCCGCAGAAAGTCCAGTATTTGTTGACAGTATTGCTTTTTCTCAGTCGATGTTATTTCACCTGAATTATGAACAATCTTATTTCGAATCACTCTAATGCTGTCTGGATCTACAGTGTTTGCGAATAATGATCGAATATCACTGCAGTTTATCAATTTTCCAATCAGTATTGAAATATCATCTGAATTCGGACTGGAACCTGTCATTTTTATAGACCAATCTGGATGGTAACACTTCTCTACCTCTGTTGCAACTGTCGGCAATTTTGAAGAATCTATTTTGGACCAATCAGATCCATTTTTTCCTATCAAAGATCGATTTCTATGTGAACTGAGTATGGTTGTTCTCCAACCAGAACACGTTTTGCACCATGATTGTTCATTTCTCGATATTTTGCTGCAAGACCTTATGCAAGGAGGATAATTTAAATGTTGCAGCATTTTAACAAGCCTACTGTGATGGTTTTGAAATTCGTCGTCTGCAAACTTATTCATTCCTTCTGACAAATATTCAAGAGCAAACAAAACTGAAATCCTGTTTTGCTTCTTAATATTATCAAATTCCATCTCGGTCATAAGTTTGTAGAGTTTACAGAAATGTATTTATTAAATGAAGTGTCTTTCTGTGAAAATAGTTCCTTATGTATACTGTGAAAACTGTAGATATGAAAAACAATGTATCTGTGCGTGAATATCAATGATATATCTTATCTCCGTTTTTTAAACACTCGTAATATGAATATAATGTGAGGTAAATGATTCATTATACAGTGTCTGAATGCGCATTCACAGAAGAAAATCCTTTCCATAAGCAGTAAAGCAGTTATGAGTAGTTTCTAATGTTCCTATTTTATTGTTAACTAAAATACACTTTTCTGACTTCTTGGCACATGAGTAATGGTGCAGGTTCGTACTATAGACAAAATAATCACATTCCGATTACGAATTATCTGTGCAAAAATCGAGTGTTGTTTATCTCTCCAAGTTTATTTTTCCAATAAAACACGTACACAAAACCGCTACAATTCCGTCTATTTCCAAAATATCAAATAGAAGGACTACTTGTGTTTTATTACCGATATATAGCTTAGTAAAATGACTTTTTTAAAACCATGATGAATAGGACTAAAAAGACACTAGAATAGCCATTTGCTTTAACAATTTTAAATTCGATCAGTTTACCAGTAAATATGTTTGAATGCTATTTGTTTTATTTTGAAATTATTATAATCTGACTACATGTTGACGACATACTTACAAATCCAACAATTATTTAACAAAATAATTTTGTCTGCATGTATACTCTTAATGCTTATTTTACTGCTATACAATACTAAATTGTACTAGAAATATTTCAGAAAAAGGGGCAGGGCAAATTTCCTGATACATTATTTCACGCTAAGGACATTTTCAAAATAGTTCTTCAATCTTTATTGGAATTTATAGTACCAAAGCTTCAAATGTGTACCTTGAGGTTGTAAAAATAATATGTCGTATTTCTGAACTTGTAGCCTAATTATAAATTATCAAAGATTGCTCAAAGCAGTGATTTTGTAAAATTTCAAGAAGTCATATAACACATGAATGTTAAAGACATGATTGGTTTTTTTTTCAGAAAATATTTGAATTTATTTTCAAATTGGGTATAGATGTACTTTAATGTAAAAGAGGTATAAAGCACAAAAAAACACCAACGGCAATGTCGCATAACACCAACGGCAATGTCGCATAACACCAGCGGCTAAGCAAAAGCTAGTTTCCCGAGATGATAAAAAATATGCCTGATCTTGTAGAAGTCGAAAGTCAAAGAAAAGAAAGAACGAATATTGTCTGAATGACATTTTAATGTAATGGACATATATAATTTTAATATAATGGACATACTAAACCCCTAATGGGAGGGATTGTGCTTGATTTTCATATGATGAAGACATAATCTTTCAATCAGTTTTTTTGAGGTCTGGAGCTGGCATGTCAGTAACTGCTAGTAGTCCTTTGTTGATTTATGTATCATTGTCATTTTGCTTAGTTTCTTTTGTTACCTATTCTGACATCGGACTCGGACTTCTTTTAAACTGAGTTTTACTGTGCGTATTGCTGTGTGTTTGTTTATTCTACATTGGCTAGAGGTATAGGGGGAGGGTTGAGATCTCACAAAACATGTTTAACCCCGCCGCATTTTTGCGCCTGTCCCAAGTCAGGAGACTCTGGCCTTTGTTAGTCTTGTATGTTTTTTAATTTTAGTTCATTTATATGTTTTGGAGTTTAGTGTGACGTCCATTTTTCACTGAACTAGTACACATTTTTGTTTAGGGGCCAGCTGAAGCCCGCCTCCGGGTGCGGGATTTTCTCGCTGAATTGAAGACTCATTGGTGGCCTTCGGCTGTTTTCTGCTCTTTGGTCGGGTTGTTGTCTCTTTGACACATTCCCCATTTTCATTCTCAATTTTATATAGAAAATTGTTGTAAAATCCTTTAGGTACATGGTTATTATTCAGATTCTTTAATGACAAAATTCCCTTGGTTTTATCATCTTTCGGATTTTTCTCGTGAGTGAAAATTATTCAGTAGAAATTAGAAAAACCTCTGTCTAAGCAGTAGTCTGAGCAGTACTCGATTGAGACTGAACTGCAATCGAGCAAAACCGAACCGTACTTAACAAAATTTGAACTGTCCCCGACCGAGTCTCTGAAAGTCCATATGCAAGTTCTGAATACTTCTAACAATCTGGGAACACATTTGTGTGTCTTCGCCATGTAATCCAGCAGTATGGTGTACAAGGACATTCATGACAGGTTTTTCCATGAACTCTATACTTTTTGGTAATCTTGCTCTCCATTCGTCTCTTGTGATCAACGAAATGTCTTCACAAATGTCATCTGAGTAATACAATAGAAACATACAGATATATTTTTTAAGAATCAGGAAAATATAACAGGAAAAAGAATAAAACTATTAGTAACTATACACATTAAAACTTAATGTAACATGATACAACTATGGTGTCAATTGTCTTAAATGCCTGTCTATAGGCTGTGTCGCAAAGCTTTTATGTGGGATTTGAACATTTCCAACAGATAAATAAGAACATGGAGTATTGACGTAAAAACAATCATGACTAAATATAATCTACTAGACGTGTATACCAACCTTAACTCAGAACGACGATCAATGACTCATATCCTATCTTTTATAAAGGACAATCTCATCGAACTCCATCAACAGCAGTGATTAAATGCGTTAGAAGATATGCCTAAATAACGCACTTACAAAAGCATTTAAACCTTACACCCCAGTTGTATTGTTATACTTCATAGTTTCTATTTCTGAAACAAGTGTAAATTGAATAGATCTATTGTTACGAATAACAAAGGATTTTGACCACAGGGTGTGACGAGCGGGGTTTCTGGAAACCCCTGCTTCTACATCCCGCAAACAAAGTCCATTGTTATTCGTAACAATAGAAATTTATTATTTTTTAGATAGCATGAACATAAGAAATTACTAATAGTGTTCACTACAAATTGTTTCATGATATTAAAAAAAAACATTTTAGGAAATCCCAATAGCGAAAAAAAAATTAAGCATCTATTTTGAATACAAAAATAATCCTTTAAATACTCCTTTGCTTGAAGGTATTTTTTTTATCCCAGTCATATGTCTCTATTCTAAAGCATTTGTCTTTAAAAAAATGGGGATTCTTACTCCCGGGACCCCCCCCCCCCCCTTACGGTTACCCATTGGCCGATCTGGGGGTGGGGGTTCCGCGGTTTGGACCCGACTTTTATTTAAAAGATCAATGCATTTGAATGGTTGGACCCCCCTTTTTTCTCTTGAGTTGGGAACCCCCAGCTGGATCAGCCCCTGTTTGCCCCCAAAAAGGGAGTTCCTAAATATTAAATCTGTATCTTTGTATGTTGAGCGTGTCTGGTAATCTGGTCACACCTATCCCTTAGTATGTCCGAATATGAATGTTTATTTATTCTCGAGAAGAGGGGGGGTTATGAATCCGTAAGATATAAAATACAGTTATGATTACCTTTATTACACTGATACAGGTAAGTACTTTGGGTTATAGTATTGCCTTTATCTTAAGTCTCTTCTACCAAATCCAACGCTTGCCACAAAATGTCGTCCGTCTTATACCCGTACATATTGACAACTGCATACAAGGAGCATGATGTATTTTTGTTTGTAATAAGAATACACGAAACGGTCAACCTTGACCCGCTGATCCATTTTAGTACATGGATTTAACGGGAATATGCAAAACAACTTTGACATTTGTAAAATATAGTCACTTGTCAAAGTTTGAACAAAGATACCCTAAGAAAGGTTACTAGTGGGGTTTCATGTAATAGAAAAAAAATTCTTATAAATCATGGTTTAATATTGTCAATAAATATGCTATCGGTTTTTTTTTCATTTAATAATCAATGTTAAAAAATATAGGGTATAGAATGGGGTGTAAGTTAGTTATACACCTCGGGATACGGCGTGTCTGGATAAGAAACCCCTCCGGCCTCCGGCCGACGGGGTTTCTTATCCAGACACACCTATCCCTCGGTGTATAACTATTACTGATTACAAGGTAGAGCCATACTTGAAAAAATGTTTGTCAAGACAACAAACTTCTGTGTTAGCCCGGATGCGAAGCGGAACTTTACCTCTAGAGATTGAAAAGGGTAGATTTCGAAATGTGCCACTTGACCAACGCCTATGTAAATTGTGCAAGTCTCAATCCATAGAGGACGAATTCCATTCTATGTTGTATTGTAAACGCTATGAACAATTGAGAACAACACTATTCAATGACATCCGAGACAATTACAACATACATGTAGATTTAAATACGCTACCAGTGAACATCAGATTACAACATTTATTTTGTATTTACAGCAAGTTTATTTCTAACTTTATTTTGAACTGTTTTACTATCAGACAATCAGTGGTCAATTGACACCGTGTCTTGCTATATTTTCTTCTTAATTTGAACTTCATTTATTTATTTATTTTTCTTTTCAATAATGAAAACACATGCGTATCATATCATATGACAGTGCATCATAAGCCTATTTGGCTGGCTGAAAATCACTTTTTTATTTGAATATAAGTTATATATATAGATCGCCTTTTACGAATTAACTTATTTAATTCACAAAAAGCGTAGCTTTGAGCGGATTAAATATGTTAATGAGTAAGGTGGGGCTATATATGTTTTGTAACATTAATGGGCGATGACACATGTCAAAGGTTAAACTGAACTGTACTTTTCATGAATTGAATATGTCAATCATAATTATAGTGGCGTATTCTATGACAAAATGTCTCTCATTTTCAGAAAATAAACTCATGGATCAGATTGTTTAGTAGGATTTCATTTTATGATACATGTTCATGTAAATGAATTGTTGCCGCAATATTTTCATCAAGGTTTAACGAGCAAAGAGCGATGTGTGTGTTATCGAAGTCTTGCCCCCCGTTTTTCCTCCGAAAAATCTCGAGGGAATAGATGTAAAATCCTGTTTGATGTATACCTTGTTACCTGCTTTCAAACCCAATAGGACGTGTAGTTTAAGAAGAGTTAAAAGTTGTGATAAGAAGGAAACGTTTTTTTTTAAATATTCTTTCTTTCTCATCATTAGGAAAAAGATCGATTAATTGATGGGTTGTTGATTGTGTAAGGTCCAAGGACAAATATTTAAAGCATGCTCAATGCATGGAGATATACATTTGAAAATTTCAGGAAATGAAACGACTGAACATCCAGTGACATATTTTTGGAATATTTATTTTGACACGATAAAAACAAGTAAAGTTTATGGAATCATTTTTAATTTAGGGTTAGGTTTACAAGTTTGACTAGTGTATGGGTAAGGTCATTGGTTTCATTGTTTACTATGCCAAGAAGGCGGAGCCAGACTGTTCAATAACAACTTTTGAGATGGAAGTTAGAGCACTGGTCTAAGCTCCTCCCATTCTTTGCTTTTCCTATGAGAAGTGGTCTACGGCGGGATTCGAACGTTCATTCAGTTAATGCACTCCTCTAAAACTTACAGAAGTTAACTTACTCGAAGATCAAAGGAATAATTACCATTCATGTTACAATTGTTTGTTATCATTCAGGTTGTACGTTAATCTGGGACTATTATACTAACATATTATGCCCCAGCTTTAATTTAAAATATTAATCATTCATTTATTCAGTAACTGTTTATACTGACAAAGTATTTCAAACAGAACAAGGACAATATGATATGAAGAGAACATTTATTTGGAAGATGCATTGAATATACCAAAGTCGATATTCATGGTATCATTCCCTTATAGCCGCCGAAGCTCTTTTATTTATAAGAGGGTAAAAATTAGATATCTCTTTTTAATGGAACTTACGAAAAGTGACTCAATTGGACATTAAAACATTAAAAAATGGGGATTCTCACTTATATTGTCTGGATAAAGTAGGTGATACAAACATTTGTTGAATTTATTCGGGCAGTATCAGTTTGGAGAATTCAATAAAAAAACGCTTTTTAAATCTGACTTAAATAGTTATCGTTTTGGGTGTCTGACATTTAACCCTCTTTTCAACCCAAGTCTTATCAAAACCGAAGCAGCTAGATACAATATATGTGAAAATATAGAGAAACAAATCCTTTGCTTAACACAAACGTGCTTGTCGGTGCGTGTGCGTGTGTGTTTCATAAGGTACCTTATAAGGTTGGCGAAATAAAGAAAAAATTACCTTCCAGTCGTTCTACAAAAAGTAAACGGTCCATAAAAATGACAACGTAAGCATACAATTGTGTTTTCGTGATTTGTAATATGCCTAAATAAATCGTCGGTATTAGGAAAGCTCCTATTATCACGCATACAGATATGATAGACATTGTGTAAAATGTTCTATCAAATCCAACGTAAATCAAGGAGAACAAGAAAATTCCAATTAACACCAATGTAAATATCCTGGATAGGTTATAAACCCTGGATGTACGTGTTTTTATTCTTTCTTTTAGTTTGTTCAGCTCATGTTCCACTATAATTTTATTCTTAATTAAATCTATATAATCATATCTCATAAATAATTGAATTTTGCTATGAGCTTCTTTCGCCTCTTGATATAGCCAAACTTCGGGTGTCCGCAGAAAGTCCAGTATTTGTTGACAGTATTGCTTTTTCTCAGTCGATGTTATTTCACCTGAATTATGAACAATCTTATTTCGAATCACTCTAATGCTGTCTGGATCTACAGTGTTTGCGAATAATGATCGAATATCACTGCAGTTTATCAATTTTCCAATCAGTATTGAAATATCATCTGAATTCGGACTGGAACCTGTCATTTTTATAGACCAATCTGGATGGTAACACTTCTCTACCTCTGTTGCAACTGTCGGCAATTTTGAAGAATCTATTTTGGACCAATCAGATCCATTTTTTCCTATCAAAGATCGATTTCTATGTGAACTGAGTATGGTTGTTCTCCAACCAGAACACGTTTTGCACCATGATTGTTCATTTCTCGATATTTTGCTGCAAGACCTTATGCAAGGAGGATAATTTAAATGTTGCAGCATTTTAACAAGCCTACTGTGATGGTTTTGAAATTCGTCGTCTGCAAACTTATTCATTCCTTCTGACAAATATTCAAGAGCAAACAAAACTGAAATCCTGTTTTGCTTCTTAATATTATCAAATTCCATCTCGGTCATAAGTTTGTAGAGTTTACAGAAATGTATTTATTAAATGAAGTGTCTTTCTGTGAAAATAGTTCCTTATGTATACTGTGAAAACTGTAGATATGAAAAACAATGTATCTGTGCGTGAATATCAATGATATATCTTATCTCCGTTTTTTAAACACTCGTAATATGAATATAATGTGAGGTAAATGATTCATTATACAGTGTCTGAATGCGCATTCACAGAAGAAAATCCTTTCCATAAGCAGTAAAGCAGTTATGAGTAGTTTCTAATGTTCCTATTTTATTGTTAACTAAAATACACTTTTCTGACTTCTTGGCACATGAGTAATGGTGCAGGTTCGTACTATAGACAAAATAATCACATTCCGATTACGAATTATCTGTGCAAAAATCGAGTGTTGTTTATCTCTCCAAGTTTATTTTTCCAATAAAACACGTACACAAAACCGCTACAATTCCGTCTATTGATTATTCGGGGTAAAGTTTTGAATAGTATTATTCAATATCAATTTTTAATGCAGAGCTGTGATATCGATTACACTGTTTAATCCCATTTAGGTTTCTGTTAACGACGTAGATGGTAATTCTAGATTGAATTTAACAGGATTCAGATTGTAGCATGATTTGCCTGGTGCTAAAACGTAAACAAAGAAACGAATTCGACATATCATGTAACACAGGACTATAACTTATCGACGATTGTTTTACAAAAATTTGTTTTTTACGCAGTTGTTTGGAACGTTCGCTGATAAATATTTTTTAAGTTGCCAAAAATTTAAGAATATACATATATTACTATTAAACACGGATCAGTAATTCTATCGTTCCAATTATACGCATATAGCATAAAAGAATACGATTAAAAATGTTAAATGTCCAATATTTGATAGGTTTAGATAACAATTGCATAAATGTATACCTTTTTATGATCATATACAATTGTGTTTACACTAGTAACCGGGTTCAATGTTATTTAAATTATCTCTATATAAAAATAAAATGATGCAAGCAAAGAACAGTTGGGATTTTCCGAGTAATTGTCTTTCGTTTTCTTTCCAAAATATCAAATAGAAGGACTACTTGTGTTTTATTACCGATATATAGCTTAGTAAAATGACTTTTTTAAAACCATGATGAATAGGACTAAAAAGACACTAGAATAGCCATTTGCTTTAACAATTTTAAATTCGATCAGTTTACCAGTAAATATGTTTGAATGCTATTTGTTTTATTTTGAAATTATTATAATCTGACTACATGTTGACGACATACTTACAAATCCAACAATTATTTAACAAAATAATTTTGTCTGCATGTATACTCTTAATGCTTATTTTACTGCTATACAATACTAAATTGTACTAGAAATATTTCAGAAAAAGGGGCAGGGCAAATTTCCTGATACATTATTTCACGCTAAGGACATTTTCAAAATAGTTCTTCAATCTTTATTGGAATTTATAGTACCAAAGCTTCAAATGTGTACCTTGAGGTTGTAAAAATAATATGTCGTATTTCTGAACTTGTAGCCTAATTATAAATTATCAAAGATTGCTCAAAGCAGTGATTTTGTAAAATTTCAAGAAGTCATATAACACATGAATGTTAAAGACATGATTGGTTTTTTTTTCAGAAAATATTTGAATTTATTTTCAAATTGGGTATAGATGTACTTTAATGTAAAAGAGGTATAAAGCACAAAAAAACACCAACGGCAATGTCGCATAACACCAACGGCAATGTCGCATAACACCAGCGGCTAAGCAAAAGCTAGTTTCCCGAGATGATAAAAAATATGCCTGATCTTGTAGAAGTCGAAAGTCAAAGAAAAGAAAGAACGAATATTGTCTGAATGACATTTTAATGTAATGGACATATATAATTTTAATATAATGGACATACTAAACCCCTAATGGGAGGGATTGTGCTTGATTTTCATATGATGAAGACATAATCTTTCAATCAGTTTAATTGAGGTCTGGAGCTGGCATGTCAGTAACTGCTAGTAGTCCTTTGTTGATTTATGTATCATTGTCATTTTGCTTAGTTTCTTTTGTTACCTATTCTGACATCGGACTCGGACTTCTTTTAAACTGAGTTTTACTGTGCGTATTGCTGTGTGTTTGTTTATTCTACATTGGCTAGAGGTATAGGGGGAGGGTTGAGATCTCACAAAACATGTTTAACCCCGCCGCATTTTTGCGCCTGTCCCAAGTCAGGAGACTCTGGCCTTTGTTAGTCTTGTATGTTTTTTAATTTTAGTTCATTTATATGTTTTGGAGTTTAGTGTGACGTCCATTTTTCACTGAACTAGTACACATTTTTGTTTAGGGGCCAGCTGAAGCCCGCCTCCGGGTGCGGGATTTTCTCGCTGAATTGAAGACTCATTGGTGGCCTTCGGCTGTTTTCTGCTCTTTGGTCGGGTTGTTGTCTCTTTGACACATTCCCCATTTTCATTCTCAATTTTATATAGAAAATTGTTGTAAAATCCTTTAGGTACATGGTTATTATTCAGATTCTTTAATGACAAAATTCCCTTGGTTTTATCATCTTTCGGATTTTTCTCGTGAGTGAAAATTATTCAGTAGAAATTAGAAAAACCTCTGTCTAAGCAGTAGTCTGAGCAGTACTCGATTGAGACTGAACTGCAATCGAGCAAAACCGAACCGTACTTAACAAAATTTGAACTGTCCCCGACCGAGTCTCTGAAAGTTCATACTACATCCGAAATGTGATTTTTAAATTGATATTGACTTTGCATGTACTATTAATTTTGCTAAAAATCAGAGCTTCCCTTATCTCACTTGGAATTCAATGATGTATGAACAATACAAGTAATGTGTTACCTTTTAATGGCTTGTGATATTCTTTACTCTACATACTAGAAAGTGGAAACGATGGTGTTGATAATTAAAGTAAATTATTTTGGCAATGGAACTTTACAATGAGATTTAATTTACATATACGATTTAGGGTAAAGACAATTATTGTATCATGTTGGAATAAAATCTTAAACTTGTCACTGAGATTTCTTTTGTTTTCATGTGAACAAAGTATTCTTCACATACAAATATTTGTTTTTAAACGGTAAAACTGAGCATTCCTTTTTGGAATGCGGAAATACTTACTAGCATTTGTTTTAGTTTTGACTGGTTCCTTAAAGAAGAAACCTTGTTGGTTCCAAATGCGGATTCAGGATTTTGAGAACGGGGACACCAAGCCAACGTTAAGTGTGGGACTTGTAAACAATCTTTGCATTAATCATACATGTAGCTCCATAATGGACCCTCTTAAATCCGCCTCTGGGTTCAAACTGCTAAGTAAAGTTTATCTTTTGGAGGACATTTGTTACAAGCTAAAGTAAATTTGTCATGATACTCCAGTTAACTAATAGCGTAAGAATAAAGAACAAATAGAGTTACTGCATATGTTTGTACATGAAATATGCTTTAACTGAACGATAAAAAAACTACTAATATGGACTGATAATATTCGGAAAAACAAGTCCCGAGATTAAATCGCTACATAAATCATTAGTATCGTATGTAAACAAAATATTTGATCCTGCAATCAGCCAACTATTGTACAATTACAGGTACACAAATAAATGTTTGTTTTATTTGTACTGGTACAAATAAAGTCTCCTGCCACCCCACTTCCATGTTGAGCAAGCGGTTATGTGGATATTTCTTTTTGCTTAACAGTTCATTTTGCGGTCCTCTTCGCGGTCCGCGTTTAAACTGTAGAGATAATGATTTGGATTTAAACTACTAAAGTTTCAAGTGCCGGGTATAAATTGCAAGATAAAAAACAAAATATGTACATTGTCGGAAATGTAAAATGTATTTGTACTCGCTACGAAACAGGAGAAAAGCTCCGCGAGCCTCGCTTTTCGTCCTATTTCTAAAGCACGAACAAATAAATTTTATATTTTCTGACAATGTACATATATTGCATAGATCTGTATATTATCAGCTCATATTTCCCTTTCTTTTCTCCTTCAGAATTTATGTTGTTAAAGGGACATTAGCTACGATTTTGACAAAACATTGATTTCCGATTTATTTTGTTTCAAGTATTAATAAAAGCAGAATTTTGAAATAATATTTCGTTATAAGCAGTCAGTTTAGTCCAAATTTGTCAAAATAAGCTCAAAAACATTGCTGATGTATTATTGACTTGCAAGTCAATAGTTTAACCCCTAAGCTGGAGATGGATTACGCAAGTACTAGGCGTGTTCAGCTATTAAAAGAAAAAGAATGTCAACAAAGAAAGTGAAACATGGGTGAACCATTTCGTTGACTCATTCGATAAACAGGTAAACACGATGATTAGCATATTTTCTAATCTATTACATGAAATCAAACAGATCTAGAAAAATCCCATTGCACGTTGTCGCAATCTATTTATATTTATATTTATGTTTATATCGGGTTATATGACCGTCGACAGTCTTCGTAGGTCATTCAATAGTTAATCGTAGGTTATTCGATGGTTAATTAGATGGCGTCTACAATAAAATACACACGACATGCTGATACATAGGATCGAGTCCATGCATTGCTAATTGTTTACTCAAGACTTTTTGTAATTTGGATATACGTTTTGAAATGGTTTTAATCAAATGTGAGATTTTGAGTGAAATCGATGAACATGAATTTGCCAGCTAATGCCACTTTCAGATAGATGTAGCTTTGAGTATATTAGAACACCAAACTAAATCTGTTTGAAAAAAATCTGAATTACATGAACTCCATACGAGAGAAACCAGGTGATCCGATAGTCCCGGTAATATTTATCAGTCTTTTTCGATACATCTTTAAATACATGTTTTCTTCTAATTGCATAACAATGAAAATAAATCTTTTACATGTATCAATGATAGGAACTGAACTTACATATCTTATCTGATATAGAATTAGACATTGATTGTCACGTTTGTGTCATATGAAAAAGACCTTGCTTTACAAGAAATCTGTAGATTGTACTAAGATATATGCGATAACTTAAAGGTATGTTCAGAAATGCACTGAATTTTACTTCTAATTAAAACCCATAACGGAAAACTATTATAAGATTGTAGATTACGACAGAAAATATCGAAAAGGTCGATGGTTCTCTCCGGCTAATCCAGCTTTCTCGGACAGTAAAAACTTGCTGCCATGATAAAGCTAAGGTCACTGAAAGTAACGTTAAACAACAAACAAACAAACAAACAAATTCATACAAAAATAACATTCATAATTTGTTTTCTTGTGTCAATGGTTTTGTATTGTCATAGAGTTTTTATCCCCTCAGTCGCCATTATTTGCTCCGGCGGTAGCTCAAGGTACAAAGCAGATATTTTGATTCTAAAGTCATCATGTATAGTAAAACTAATAAAAAAAATTTAAAATTTTGAATTATTTAATGAGATTGTGTTATTTAAAAGCGGAATGGATAAATCCATGGTTCTCCTCGAAAAGTGAAAAGTACTTGTATGAACTCAGTCAATAACATTGTGAGATCAACTATTTTGCTATCCAAGTAAAAAGCGATAAAAAGAAATAACAAAACGTGATAGGAGTCATCTCTTTCATTCCTCATTTTGACCTCAAACAAACTCAGACAAGTGTACGCGTTGACTTATATTGTTAAGAATAAATATCACATTAAGGTTTACATTTTAACACTTACAATTGTGATTTTCGTCGATATTTTCAAATATTTGTTTAATGTATAATTAGCTCAAACATTAGTTACGTAACCATTTATGATTCCAGATGCTGAATAAATTCATACTAGCGGTGTGCATTTCTGTTGTTTTATCAGGTAAAATTTGCTTTAACAAGATATGTATCACATTTAATTTCATTTAAAACAATTTAATTTCTAAACTAATTCGAAAATAGAATGAAAAAATGTATCCAGTTACCTCATTCTATGAAATATATCTTTTTATTAATAAACTGAGATGTAAGGTTAACGTCAATGAGACAGCAACCTAAAAACTAAAATAACCAAAATATATCTAGAGGGCATCATACAGTCTTCAACAATAGACAGGTGCCTATATACAATATGTCGACTCGATCCTAGAAAAGTGGTGAACAAATCTTACAGAAACAATCAAAGATCCGCCACACAAACATTCGTCTCTCTAAATAACGAAAACACCAATACATGGCATCGTATACTGTAATCACAATTTTATAAGGGAGAAGGTATGAAAAAAAACCCTTTTTTTGTCCCTTGAATTGCAAAATGAACAAGGATTATATAACGTTGATATATTAGGAAATATTGTTAAGAAACTTAAAGTCTAACTTCCTTAGGTAAAGTTGACCATGATAGATAAATTTGGCTATTCCTTTTAGATCTCATTTGGTCATATAGCGTCTTACTTTGCTACGTTTTTATACATCCCTGGTTTTCAAATGTTTAGGTTTGAGCGTTCCTGATGAAGATAAATCCAGTAAAGCGCTTCAAACACATGAAATTTTTAAAAGTGTAAATTTTCATAATAAATCTATCAAACAACATTTGTCGGATGTTTTTAAGACATTAGTCTGTCCGATTTCATTATTTATAGTTTGTATTTGTCTCTCACATAGCTGTTCTAGGGCTTCAGAGTTTTTGCATTTCATTCAGAACTGTAAAAATTACCATATTTTCCATATTTGAGATCCTGACATCAAAATTTAGTTATGACCCAAGGCCGTTCCCGAAAATATGTTTTAGTTGAAGATGTCTTATGCAAAGTTGTTAGTGTGTGTAAAATATTTTGGAGGGATGGCCTTTGCTCATAACTAAATCTGCCAAAAATTTTGTGCTTAAAATTACCATTTTAGGTCAAATATATCACTTTCATTATATTTCAGACGTCAAATGACGGTGACATTACCAATGACTTTAGTCAACTAAAACGTTCAGATTATATCATTCTTTTCATTTATTGTATAAAAGAGAGGCAAGGGATATCAAAGGAACATTCAAACTCATAAGTCGAAAACAAACTGACAACGCCATGGGTAAAAACGGAAAACGACCAAAAAGACAAACAACATTATACAAAACACAACATAAAGCACTAAAGACTGAGCAAGACGACCACCTCTCCCTAAAAAAAAATCGGGAGTGATCTCAGGTGCGCCGAAGGGTAAGTAGATCTTGATCCACATGTGGCATCCGTCGTGTTGCTTATGTAAGTACAAACCCGGTGATAAGTTTAATTCGGTAGGTCACTTATGAGGAAAAGAGGACGGGATTGTCGTTACGACAATTAGAACATTTCCGTCGTCATCTGTGAAACACATATTCCATATATTATTTTTTGACAAAATGATCGCTCCCATCATACCTTCTCCTCTCTACTTATTTCATTGGTTGAGAACTTTAACCTGTTTACATAACATCTGAGCAAAACTGATATAACTATAAGGAGATATTGTTGATTGCAAATGAGGCAGACATCAATCTAACAGAGAAAAAAGGACGTGGTTGTTTGCAGCTGTACATCGCCGTAAGACCTTAAACAATGAGCAAATCCATATCATATGGTAAACTATAAAATGTCCCGGGATGACAGAATGTCTAAAATTTAAACAAGAAAATCAATGTCCTGAATTATTAATATATTAAAGTTTAGATATGACAACTCCCTACGTATATTTATCAACAAGTGATAGGAAGTACAAAATTTCATTCTCTAATTTGTAGAAACACTTGACTGTACAGGTCAACATCGCTACAGTGCCAGAGGTACCGGATATTACCCAGCTGATGATCCAATCGAAGGAGGATTTTTAGACAGACTTGGACATCCATTACATACACTTCAAGTATGTTAATGATTGCATAATCATTTTCAAAATCTAAATGTTTGAAATAGGGATCTGAAATTGATGTATTTTGTTTTTAATATAGGTGTCAAAACGCCTCTATATTCAACAAAATTCTTCACACTTTTCTAAATATTTTACCTTAAAATTAAACTCCATAAGAACCATGTATATCCTGAGTAGTGTACATGTATCACCTTTCTATATGTCAAGTTTTTAACTACTTACTACTAGAATAGTAATGTGGTTTTCTGAAAATAAAACTTTATCAAGCATACTATATATAGCAAATTACACCTAAAATGCAAATTCACGGAAAAGTCAGTTTGAGCTCAAAATGGTACATCGGTTCTTGGAACTTTCTTTTCATACAAATCTTTTTGAGTATGCGATTGATAGATAAATCTAGGTTAATTCACGGTTCTCTTACATTTGAAAAATACAACTCACGTTTATGACGTTTATCCAAGTGTCAAACAATAGATGGGCTTGGTGTTTATATAGCAATTAAAATTGTTGTTTTTAGGAAGGTCTACTGAGACCTGTATATTATGTATAATAACATTTTCATATTATACTTTTGAATAATAAATGTAGCCTAATAAATGAATTCAGAAAAATAAAAAAAATAGTGGGATTTAGTATAAAATTTCTATGGTTGCACCCCATCTTTTTTATGTAAGTAATTATTTATAATTTATATTAAAAAAAAACAAAAACAAAAACAAATAAAAACAAAAAAAACAAAAAAAAACAAATATATAACTTTCATGCACTTAATTTGTACATTTTTAATATGCTTATGCAATTTAAGTTCCTGTCAAAAATTAATCCAAAAAACTTTATTTCTGTAACCTTTTCCAATTTATGATTGCCAGGTTTTTAAGTTGTATTTACATTTGTCCTTCTATAGTAAATATCATAGCTACAGTTTACTTGGAGAAATTTAAAAACCCCTGAAGAGTACTATTTACATATATTATCTAGCCTTGAATTTTATTTGGTAAAAACTTAATGCATGAATCGGATTTTTATATAGCACCGTCATCTGCAAATTTTAAAATTTCACAATCTTGTAAACAAATCATTAACCATAATATTAAATAAAGTTGACTTATTCAACTCCTGTATAAAGTGTACCATTTCTAGTTTGTTCAACTCTACACAATACACGCAATGATCAATGAAGTTATGTACCGACTTGTCTTTGGTCTACTACCCAATAAAAGTGAGCAGACATACGACCGCTTACTCAACTTGCTAAAGACTGCTTGTCGACATCAACTCCAATTAGCACCACATATATTCTTTACAGACTTTGAGAGAGATACCCGTTATTTCATCCAACGAGCATTCGCCAACATTACATTGTAAAGCTGCTATTTCCACTAAACTCAATAAATGTTTCTCAGATACTACATTAAAGCAATAGACTAACTATATTTAGTGTATGGTATGATTGTAAAGTGTACAGGGTTCATCTGAAATTAATCTGATCATTGATGGTGTTGAGTTTATGTGACACTTATAGTAAAACTTTCCTATGACACGTTTCAACATAAATTTCATCATGACAAGTAAAACTGGCATGACATTTCACCGTGTGTACGCTTGTTTATTGATTAAACTTTTTGTGCTGAATTTAAAGATTTAATATTTTTTTTTAATTGTTTAATACTGTTAACGTGCCTGCAATTTAACGCATTTTCGTGTGCATAATTTCAAGATTTTTTAGTGTATTTGTCGATCAGTGTTAAATAATTTTATACGATTGTAAAACAGTTTCGTTGTTAACCTCTGTTTTGCTCTTTGATGAAATAAATATATATTTTTTTTCAACTATCAACCCGTCAGATCATGCACAAGTTAATTTGAGATGGTTTCACTGTAACTCCATTTACAGATAAATTTCATTAATCCCTTTTGCTAAAAAATTACGTTTCTCCATCATGAAATTATTTACCCGTATACAAAAATGTCAAATTTTGGAGAAACGTGAACACACCATAATGGCAATCGAAAACTAATTTTTAACGTTCAAAGATGAAATGTATACTTTATTGCCTGCGCGTGTTCTAAAAAGTATAACGAAAATACCAAACTCCAAGGTAAATTAAAAAAGGGGGAAGCGCATGATAACTGACAAAATCAAACTTTATCAACCAACGGAACGAGTGTGAAAATCAACTGTCATATTTCTGATTGATATATAAACATTGAAAACACGAATTCCCCCAAAATACCGCACAGTACCACAGACCAACACCCGACTACTCCGAAAAACAGACGTTGCGAATACAAATTACATGGAACGACACATGGTCCAGACAGCCAGACTTGGTACAGGCACAAAAGACGAAAGAGTATCGCATGATTTCTTAAGACGCTATTAGAAAAAAATGTGTTTATAGAATTGAAAGCATAGATATTCCAAACATATTAACTTTTAACATATTTGCATAATTATTAATAAATCTCTCCTTCTTCACCATGACAGATTTCTTAGTTGTATGCGTGTCAAACGTTTTACAAAAGTATTGTGATTTATCATTCATCTATAAAATAATACCATCATTTTTTCTAAATTTAATTGTATTCCTGTTTTATGGGTAGTTCAAAAAGTCAGCACACGTCCTATAATTTTGATTTCATATTCCCAAAAAAAACCTTCTTTTTTTCTTTCTTAAAATATACGCTTTGGCTTTGGTTTTGTAATGTCGATTTAATATTTGTTCTTGTTATGTTTGATCATTTAAATATAATAGATCGGAAACGGTAATTACAATTCTTACAAGACGTGTCGTTTTGTATGTTAGTGTATCGCATGGCGTGATTTTTCTACATTTACATATATGTTTTTTTAAATGTAAATGACGCGTTCTCATCACTAAAAATAGCTTATTAAAATCTGCGACCACATAACTCGTAAGCATTCATGAAAAATCAAAATGTATATTTGTAACTGCATGTTACGAGAAATTAACAATTTCAGTTATCGGCAATCTGATAAGTGACACTTTAGATAATTTATGTAACAGTACATATTTGTAATTGAAGGACTTCCTTGATGGTAAAGCGTCATGGGTCAGTGTTGCAATGGATAGATACCTACATTTGCCTTATGGCACGCATGTTTGCATCCCAGATTTGAACCATAAATACCATCGAGTTATTCCCTTCAGGGTGAGTTCGTGGTCGTCGTATCATCCAAGTATAACAAAGGAATGTTTTATTTCTATGAATTTATATTACATTCATTGACTCTTTTCTTTTTACATTCTGCTTTTAGAAAGTATAGAAAGAATTATACTTTTCATCCAGTTGATGAGAACAGAAAACACCATTGTCTTATCGTTTGTAATGAAGACAGTCAATTTAATGTGCACTTAATCATAATGAGATAAGGTAATAGAAAAGGTACATATATATACATATCACAAAATATTCTGTCAAAACTGGATAAAATGTTGAAATATTAACAGTATTCTGATATTACTCACTGTGCCACAGACATTCTTTACAAAGGTTTCATTCATGTCATTGGTTTGCAAATAGCATGATCATTTCTGTTAGGTGTTTAGGGTATTTTCTATTATTCTATAGCATCCCTTATTTTTTACTTATTCAGGTTGTTGACACAGGATCTGCATTCAGTCATAAAGGATATGGAAGAATTGATATTTGTACCAGATCACAACACGATTCCTACGACAACACAATCAATGGGCACATAACATTAGTATTTCATTGAATTGACCGATTGAATAAAATATAATGGATCAACAGTTTTATTCAAAATTAGAGTACTGATTTCAATATTTTCACATTAAAGTTTAGCCAAGAGTAGCTAGAGAATAGAAATGTGATATCCTAGACTTCTTCCGTTCCGATGTAAGATCCTTACAAAAGGGGAGACCCGTAAACCTGCACAAAACCTATAACAGATGTAATTTTGTTTAGTCTAGGCATGTCAGAATCAGGGCCCCTGTTGGAAAAAACATCTTCCAGGTTTTTCGATACGATATTTATTAAAGTGGTTTTACGTGTGTCTGTTTTCTTGTTATCTATCATACCGGCTCTGTAGATTTAGATTGTTTTTTTATCTAAACTTATTTTTAAAGTACATTTTGGTATGTCCCTTTTGTTATGCCACTGATCCAGTTTAAAAGTGTTAGGATTGAGTGGTCAAGAACAATAGCTCAACTCACCATTTGTGCAAGTGCCTGTTTCTCAAGTCAGTCATGACCCTCGTCTGTGGTAATATTTGACAGAATTTTTTATCGCTTTCAATTTTAAGTGAGGATCGAGAAGCTTACTTAGTCTTAAGTTTTTATGTGGTGTTTTGCTGACTTGCTTTTTCGTAGTCTGTCGTATTTTTACCACGGCGTCGTCATTTTTTCTCCGACTTTTGAATTTTGAATGGTTCCTCTGTATTTTCCGCCTCTTGTTGCGGTCCTTCAAGAGTTTGGTCATAATGGCAGAATTAAGTTACGCTTCGTTTTTTCTATTTACTTATAATCTCTCTATTTGTGGAAAAGAGATAGACATATTGTATAAGCAAATAAAATATTTTCTAACGTAGTATATAGTATACTAACTTTTAGATGTCCTTGAATTTTTAGTCGATTGATTGCTGTCTTATTGACTTACGCCAGCATCTTACTAGTAAATCTATAAACAGTTATTAAAAGGCTGAACAATGAATACGTAGTCGTCTTTAGTCTTCAAGTCGATTTAAAGACACATTCACTGTGATAAATTTAGCACTATTCAAATTGTTTACTTCCTGTTATATAAAATCTATTCCAGATTGTTCAGTGGTTGTTATTTACAAAACAACAATATACTGTTATATCTAAAATGCTACTGAACAATACTGCATTGCCTGAACACAACATGTCTAATGAATTCTTTCGCTTATGTAAGGGTTGCTTCCTTACATATTACGTTTTTCATCTGCAGATAATAATAAAACTAATGCGATATGAAAAAAATAATACATTCAAATCAATTGTCCCGAAATTTTGAAGCAAGCTACCTTATAACCACAACGTTCGTGATTTACCCCTAATTTGCATAGAAAACGTTGCCGTTTACCATTGTTCTTGCTGATATTAAAATAGCCAAACGTCATATCATTAATCATCGATCTTTTTCAAATAGAAATTTACTTTTCAAAGGCACATTCAATTAACACATTACTATGTGCATGTATTTTTTAAATTCAGCTTGCCTCTTAAACGTTATTATGATAATGCCGAAATTGGCATTACTATTCCAATGCATTAAGATACATTATAATGTCTATACTACAATTACAATTTTAAAAATAATATATCTAGCAAACTATATAGCTAATTTCTTGAATAAAATTATGTTACAGTTAAACTTATTCATTTAGTTATAATGACATGATACAGTTTGAATTACCTGCGCCAAAGATAGAGATTGAACTTATAACCTGATACCATATACCAAGTTTTACAGTGATTGTCACGTTTGTTCCACGATAAACGAATATACCAAAAAGTTGTGTGAATTTGAAGATCTCAGACAAACTTTAAGGTATGTTCAGAATTAATTTTTTTTTGACGTTTCACTCTTAATAATAGTTTATATCATAATCTATTCAGATAAGTTATCATATAAATATTGTGGCATTGAAAAAATAATGCTACGTGGATAAGAATAACCAATTATAATCCTTAAAAGTTTTTTTACGTAGGAGTTTGACGTTAGAAGATCATGCAAAGCTTATTAGGAAGAAACAGAACTTCAGCCGAAAAACAACCATATAATCGAAGATTAATAATGCAACGAATCACTTAAATACAACACAATCCCATCTAGCCTAGGAGTCATGGCTTGGGTTTCCGAATCTGTCGGACCAGTAATCAAGCAAACGAAAGAATGAAAACAAGAAAAGAAGAATTAATTAAAGTCTTTTCGCAGAGAAAGTTAAAAAAAAAGTGGATATAAATTGCATGTTAGCGCCGCGCTTGTCTTTCTGTGTAATTCGATTGCGAGCAATGCGATTACGAAAACGTATTTTGATAAATGGATTTTTTGTAACTTTTACCATTCTTTTAAACCAAATTTAAGATTAAAAATGTTTGCTACTTTTCATGAACAGCATTTTCGTAAAAAAAACGTCTTTTTCAATTGATAACATATATAATATATATGTTGTGTACAAGTTATCATTTTGTACAAATTATAATTTGTACAAAAAAATTGTACAAATTATAATTTGTATTTTGTCTTTGTACACATTGTAATTTGTACAAAAAGTGCCTGTACAAATTACAATTTGTACAAAATTTGACGAAAATTCACTTATAACTTGTACAATTTTTTATAATAAGGATTTTCGTTAAAAAAGCATAGATACACTTTATAGAATTGTTATTAAATGGCTATACTGAAAAGTGAGTGAGTGAGTAAACCTTATTTATGAAATACAAAAATAGTTCTTTATCAGTCGTTTGAGGCTTAGCAGGTGAGTTAATTATGGCATCGTGAATTGCATCTTTTGACTTTCACATTTGACTCGTCGTGAATACTTTGCAACGGCTAATTACTTTGGGGTCAATTGCTTTAAAAAGTTGCCAAAGCTATATATCACAGGTGTTTATGTACTCTTTTAGTCATTTACTCATATGATGTTATGGTGTAAACATGGCCGACATTGTTGATCAGTAGAAAATGGTTTTAACCTAGCAGAGAATAATAAAAGAACAAGCATTTGTACACCAAGGACAAGCATAATGGACTAAATTGAGTATGACACTGACATATAGATACCGATCATTCTTGCTAGGAATCGTGCGCTGTGTGGCCAATAAATCCAAGACGAATGTCTGACCAAGAAAACGAGACAGTTATAATCAGAACTTGTTGTTTGGGGTTAAAGTCATTATACATATTCCTCATTATGATGGTGCCCAAATTGATCCTCGAAATATCTTGGGCGTAATTGTTAAATCTGGAGATTTTGGTACCAAATTGGAACATCTGTAAGAATTTAAACAGGATATCTATTTGTCTAAATGTAAAATTGAAACTGTGAAAGACACGTGTTTATTCACAGCAACGGTTCCTGATCTTCAACTTTTGCTACGTGAAGCAGTTAAGAAGCATTTCAAACAGATTGTCAGGGGTTCCTTTCTTGTAAATGCAAAGGATGGTCCAGGACTTCTAAATGTAAATGTAAAAGTAAAAAGATGTTGTGCAATTCCCGATGCCATAATTAATGTACCTGCTCAACCGAATGATACATAACTAAACTTTTGTATTTTGTAAATAAGGTGTACTGTGTGGTCATTTAATAGCAATTCTATAGTGTGTATCAATGCTTTTTTTTCACCAAAATTCACATTATAGATTATTGTACAAGTTATAAGTGAATTTAAGTCAAATTTTGTACAAATTGTAATTTGTACAGGCACTTTTTGTACAAATTACAATTTGTACAAAGTCAAAATACAAATAATAATTTGTACAGTTGTTTTGTACAAATTATAATTTGTACAAAATGATAACTTGTACACAACATATATATAATATCTATATAATAAAGATAATCGAGGAAAGATAGACAATACCCTGGTTAAAGATATAAGATGGGGAAAACTAACAGTTTTTAAAACAAAGCAAAAGATTGAGTAAAACAAAAACTGAGGATGAACTTAGGTGTTTCGATAGGGTAAGTTGTTCGTGTTTAAGGGAAAGGCATTGATAAGTGACAATTAGTGATGCTTTTTAAACGAGAAACGGAGGACTGAAATGTGGCTTCGACCAATGTGTGTGAATATATGATGCAGATAATTTTTGTGATTTACTTAAACAAATTAATTGCAGAACAGTGCAATATCTTGTATTGCTGAAAACATGCTTGAAATGACTGCTTTATGACGAATTAAAATTTTACTATGAAACTTACATACGTTTACAGATTTTTCAGTGATTTACTTGGTATTGAAAATACTAAATACTTAATTATTAACACATTTTTCTGTATGCATTTATCTGCCAATAACGCCTCTGTCTCATACAAAAGCACATGGCATCATTGGGCTGTCCATACTGATGATTTTATTGTTTTGAATGATAAACATTAAATTGAACTAAAAATTTATTCAAAATATTTTTCAACATTACTACCAGCATAAACAGTAGAACAGAGTTAATTTTGGAAATGAGTTCTCTTATCATTTTAGCATGCATACTTTAATCTATTTCAGTATTATATAAAAAATAATTCTTTCTCTAACGTTGAAGAATATATAACCTGAAATTGTATTGATATGCTTAGTAAATGCATTGTATCTGTTCAATAAGTTTAATTCAATTTTTCTTCAGATGCTGACAAAAATACTTTTAGCAGTGTGTTTCTCTGTTGTTGCATCAGGTATATTTTGTATAAATCAAAATAACACTGTATATGTTTCGTATGTTCGAAGCGCTTTTCTTGATTTACCTTCATCAGGATCGCTCAAACCCCAAAAATTTGAAAGCCCATGATGAATGACCATCAACAAATGAGCAGCTTTGTGATTAAAAGATTTATGAAAGGAATAGCAAAATTTATCTAAGGTCAACTTACTTCAGAGGACCTTTTTTTTAATATTATCTTTATTAGTTTATCAACGGCGAATTCAAAAAAGCATGTTACAAATCATGACAGTACCAATGCACTGACTACTGAGCTGATGGTATCCTCGGGAATTTATAGTCCACCATCAGTTGTATCAACCCAGTGCTAGTGAATGAAAATAACACTTTATAAATTTCGTGCGTCAGAATCGCTTTCTGGATTAAAATTTTAGAATCTCTTCGTTTTAATTAGACCTCTGCGTTTTTTATCCAAAATATAACATCATGAGCAGTTTGATGTAAAAGTACATTAATTCGTTCTTCATATATTGTTCCATTAAGGTAGATGGAAACTCTAAATAAAAAAAATCGATAAAATGAATTCATATTTTACCAAATTGCAGTATGTATCATGTTTATTTTTAAAAATATAACAAACAGTATGGACTCAAAGAGCTTTTTTAAGCTTCAGTTTGTGCAAAAATGTCAGACTTTGTAAAGAATTTACATGAAAAACCAAACTTTGTATGAAATGAAAGAAAACTATATGACAGAAATTTATAATAAGATAAAATATGAGAAGATCGTTCTTACAAGATGGCATCAGTAGTTACAGAACCTGATTATCTTGCTACAAAACAAAATAGGTAAACTAACTGTGCATTCCTTTATTAAATTATGTTCTCTGAGTAAACTCAATTTTATGGCTAAGTTGAAGAAAAAAATCAAAGAAAAAATTTTCTGTATTCACAAATTGAGGCGACTGTAGTTTCTGATGTTCAAACCTCGTAAATCAATTTAGAGGAGACAAATCAAAGTAATTCACAAAAACTGGTTGAATCGCATGAACTTCAAAAGACCGGTTGTGTTGACAGGGTAAACGTTTCCTTCTATGCATGCATCACCAGCCGTGGGAATCCACAATCGTAAAAATAAAATAAAACAGTCTTATTTTAAGTTAAAACACACAATTTCCTTATTTAGATACAAATGAACTGCATTCCCCTCTCAAAATTTGAATTCATTAAAGATCTAGACCAGTTGTTTTCTGCTATTTTATCCAAGATGACGGAAGACACCTGATCTACTTTAGGCAATTAGTTGCATTCAACACATTTAAATAAAACTTATCTACTTTAGAAAGGCCAAATGAAAATGAAATGAAAAGATGTATAAATATTTTGGGATCTGTCTTACTAAGATGATCTAAACGGCCAAAAGTTTCATATCCACTGAAAAGAATAGTTTATAAGAATACATTCGATGGTAATTTTAAAGTACCTAATCGCCAAAAGAAAAAATCTATGACAAAGGATTACAATATTATAGTTTAACGTTATTAATTGGTAACTTTGAGGTAATGTTTGTTTATTGCATTTATATAGATACACTTGACTGCACTGGAAGACATAGATACAGTTCCCGGGGTACTGGATATTATCCGGCTGACGACCCAATAGAAGGCGGATTTTTCGACAGGCTTGGTCATCCATTACATACCCTTCAAGTATGTAGTTCTGCTAATTTACACTGTCAAATCAACATCTCTTATTTTTTTATCAAAAGACCAGAATTTAGTTTTTGTTCAGTTTGGGTGGTTGGGGGGGGGGGGTATGTAGACAGTGATTATGATGTACATTGCGATTGAAGATTCTATGTTAACATCAGAAACCTGTTCTCTATAAGTCAGAAGATGATTACCACTGCTTTTGTTCTTTACTTTTGACACATAATGCCCTTACCTATTGAAGAGCACTCCGGGCCAACAATTTCATATTTTTTTTCAAACAAAAAGATCCATTATAGGAGGTTTAGTTTTTCTTTCTTTTCGTAATTCATCTACATTTAAAACTATTAGTTAATCAACTATTAAATTACAGTGATGTTTTAATATCTGAATGATTCCACGACGGCGAAAAATATTAAGCAAGTGCTTACAACGAAATGGGCTATTTTATGGGTTTTACTTTTTTATTTAAGGATTTTCTCGAAGGTAAAGCTCAATGGGTCAGTGTGGCAATGGATAGATATGCGCATATTCTTTATGGAAAAAGTGTTTGTATCCCACAGTTAAACCATAAGTATAATAGAGTCATTCCCTTCAAGGTAAGTGCTCTAGAATATTGACTTTCAAATTCTCATAAAGAAATACAATTACTACTAATAATGATTGTATTGATAATATAAACATACATGTGCTGGTATTAAAAGCGAATCCACACTCAGTCAAAATGACGCAATCAAGAATAGCACACAATCAAAAATAGCACACAATCAAGAATAGCACCCAATCAGGAATAACAACCAATCAGGAATAACACACAATCGTAAAATTACAGATCAGACGACTATACTGATATCTTAAAGTCTAATCTAGTGAATTGAGACACCGACACATCGTATGGGTCAAACAATTCGTGATGGTGACCGTGAAACTTTTGAAGTGTCGATTTCAATCGTTTTTCCTCATAACTCTTTTGGTGTATTTTTTGTGTAAGGAGCATACCACTGTAAATGAAGTCCGTTAAGTGTAAATATGGATGAGCGTAATGTATTTAAATTCAATTTGAAAGTTAAAATCATCACGTTTGTCATAGATTCTAGCTTGTAGTCGTCCATCTATATCAATATCTAGCAAAACATCAAGATATGAATAAGACCGACATCTTTCAGTAGTATCCTTAATCTCAAGTTCACTGTGATATATAAGATGTAAACACACATTAAAATGTTTGTTATTGAGTGACAGAACATCATCAATATATCTGAAATAAACTTTGCAAGATGCTTTTTCTGTTTGTATTTCATAAGGTTCTGTATAAATTTTGGGTGGTACGAGTACACAAATACGTACCTAAGGACATATATTAGGGTATTTTTCATTTACCTATCCCAGCGGAGAGAGAAAAAAACATTTAAAAACAAAATAATAATAAACAATAAACGCCTTCAAAATATATTGTTACGTGTTAAGATGAAATGTATAGGAACATGTACCTGCCTAATCTTTATTTCCATGCACAGTACAGTACGAAAACAAATGACCCAGTATGAGACAACGTTGCTATAGTAGCATTTGAATATGCCTTGTTTAACCAATGCAATAAAACATAATAAATGAACAATTCAACCGTAGACATAACAAGAGTTGAATAAGTTATTTTAACAGAATTTATAACAAGAGTTGAATAATTTCTATTTATCACAATTTAGTGCTATCTATTTAATTTTACACCCTTTGTTAAATAAAGACGTAAATACATTTTGATTCTGAACAAGAATGAAAATGAAAAGTAATTTCATTTTTTTGCAGGTAGTAGACACGGGATCGGCGTTTGATCATAAAGGATATGGAAGAATTGATATATGCACCCGATCTCAGCATGATTCATACGACAACACAATCAATGGGCCTTTAACGTTGGTATTTCGTATTTGATTTATTAAATAAAGGTACATGAAAGATCAGCCAACTTCAGTTATATTAACTTGATTTCTCTATTTACATTAAGTTAAGAAAAGAAGGGCCAATGCAGTAAAAGACATGCACAACAGAGATCATGTAGCAATAGGTACTCTCTAATAAAATTTCAAAACACTTTAAAGTCAAAATTCACACACATTATTATACACTAACCCATATAAATGTGCAACACTCTCAACATAAAGAAAGTTTATTTGTAGCCCAACATGTAAAAGAAAATTATATGAAACAGTCGGTGTCCGCATTTTCGAAAGATGCAGTTGAAATGTTGGATGTCTATTCAAATATGGGCTCTAGATATAATACCACTTTTGCCTGTTCTGAATAGTGTATTACCAATCACAAAGGTAATTGTGTGAACGTAATAACATTTTTAGTAAAATCGGAAAATCCATTTGAGGTACACCTCAATGCAATGGATTATATTTTAAAAATTACTATTGTTTTGGGATGTATTGTGAAAGAAATATTTTCAAGGAAGTGAGTTCAAATTTTACGATTTTGCATTAATGTCCTATTGCCAGTGTAAAGTTCAACTGTATATTTTGTTCACTTTTGAAACAATCTAAGAAGACACCAACAATGCTGTTGAACTCATAAGTCGATTAAGCCTAAATCAAGTTAGAAAAACAGACGAAAGGACAAACATCACATATGAAACAAATACCGTGATCACATTAAAGGTACACGATGTACATTCATAGTGACAACAACATAAATTTCAATCCTATACATTACACAAAAACAAAATATTGAAATAAACGAATAATGGAACCCACCAAAACTTATGGTAAACTACGGTACTCCAGAGAGGGAAACTGTTTCGTTCAACTTTATAAAATAAATATGCAAAAATGAATTTACGCACATATGCTGTGTAGGAAATGCGAAATGCCATGTGGATGAAGCAAAGCGTCCACTGTTAAAATTGACTATTATACTTTGCGTTTATATTGTCTAAGCTAACGATGGTGTAATTATTTGTTAAAACTCATCATATATACCAGGCTTTTAATTTGATACGCCAGAGGCACGTTTCGTCTATAAAGACTCATTCAGAGCGCACGATTCTAAATTATGTAACCTATTTATAATAGCAGGTTATATATACCAAATCAATGTGTTAAAAAAATGTCAGCTGAAAAAATGTGCACGAGGCAAATCAAAACCGACAAGAAAAATAAACGAGTTAAGACGTTTATTAGCAAAGAACATTTAAAACTCATCCTTTAGACAATAAGAATTCCTATCAAATCCGGGAGTGATATTAGGCCAGAAGGTAACTTATTCATTTCATATATTCAATTATCATTTATTGATTGTATAATTATTCAAATATTTGTACTATTTTGGTTTGGTACTTGGCATGATTTTTAACACGTATTTACCATTGTATTTAACTTTGAGATATGCTGAGCTTTGTGTAATATTTATTTCGACGTCACAAATCAAAATTATATTTATAACTAATCTTTTTATTTCAAATAGCTGGAAAAAAATATTTAGTTTTACACTATTTGCCATTAATTGGCCAATGTCTTACAAATCAAAACTACCTAGAAAAGAATCGAAATAAAATGTATAGATTTTCTACAATCAATGTGCATAACGTTCAAGCACGCTCTGAAACAAAAAGGAAGAAGTTTTTGCCAAAATTAACAAGGAGTCATGTAACATGAAAACGTTCATCAACGTGTTTTTAGTAATATAGGTTTAAGACGCAATGGTAATGACTTCCTAAATTGATTTGTTTTCCTTGCAAAATATTGTAAAGTGACTGGTTACAAGTATGATCCGGTGAATTAAGTAAGTCAAAGACTTAACAATATAATCCAACCACATGAATAGACGGAGCAGCTGCGTGAAACCATCAGGGTGGAAATCTTGTTACAATTGCCACAACAAAAAAGATCCATTTAGTTCAATCTCGTCTTGGAAGTTAAGTTTGTATTTCTCTAAGTAACAATAATATTTTGAGTGTTTTGCACGCTTGTTATGCTGTAATTCTTTCTTTGCTTGAATTTCAAGCTGATCTTAAAAGTTAACTTTCAAAAAGTTGATTGGTGTTCAAGATACTTTAACTTTTTCCGGTTTTATGGTTGAACCAAACATCAATATATCAATGAACTAGTAAATCAATTGCAATATCACATGATGGTCATTTTTTATCTAATATGACACCCTGAGGATGCTTTTAGAACAGACAACTCTTACAGCCATCGTTTTTTAATATCTTATAGTTATAACCTCAACCACTCATTATTGTTTTCAAACACAATATGATTGACCGATTTTGTATGGCTTCTTTTAAGATTTTAATTACTTGTATAATTCAATTCATTTTGACTGAAAATCTCTGTAAAGAAAATGTTTGTTGCTCGTCTTGCAATTCTCTATTGAATTAATCGCAAAAGCTTGGACAAAACAATAAATTTGCAATCATTCCGTCCTTTCACAATGAACATTTAAACTGAGTTTAAAGTTGATGTTATCACAAATATTGCAAACCCAGATATTAATCTGAAACCGGACGGACAGGTGGGTGCAAATACCGGAAAACATAATCACAGTGTAGATACTATTCTGTACGCTATCTGGAAGTCGCGATTTTCGAAGCGATGATTTCTAACTGGCTAACAGGAAGGTTTTGCCTACGGTGACTTTTCTCATCATTTGTTTACTCCTATATCTATAAAGTGCTTTGAACATCTTCAAGGTATGTATAGCATCATAAATATGAGTAACTGTAACAAAAACATGCATAAGAATATAAAATATACGTGTGCATCACACCAACTTGATAGAAAAAAGTGAAATCGATGGACAATTTTGCTCTCGTAGTACAAAGCAAATAATCTTTTAATGCAAATATTTGCATCAGTTTACAGTTAAATATATACTGTTTCAAGTTTCTTTTCGTATTTAAGTAGAATATTCGTATTTCCCATAAAAAAATATGTTTTCCTTGAGGATCCCAAAATAAGTTACTGTACGATCAGTCTAGAACTGACTGTATTCTAGAAGCGATTTTAGATTTTTTGACTGTATGACCAGTCGTGATTTTGAAAAAGAAACAACGGCAATTTGAAGGTATATACGTGTCTATGTGATATTATGAACTGCCCAGGGAACTATAACGTGTAATTTATTTCATCAGACAATACAAATATATTTCTGATGATTTCTGTAGACGGCATTTGTATGGGAACATATATTTGGAATCCCTTTTCTCCTGGATTGCACCCCCTCTCCATTTAAAAATGGCTGGAACCCACAATGTATATTAAGTGGTTTATGAAGAGATGCACTTACAAAACCGACGAAACATATTGTACCGGTCCAACGGAAAGACGGACTTCATTATCACTATAAACCCCCGCTTTACAAAGTGGTGTACAATTGAGTGTCAAAGAGACAGCTCTACATCCAAAACAAAGTGAAGGAACTGTGATCAATTATAGGATACAGTACGGCCTCGAATGTGTGTAAATACATGCATTTTTATATAACAATTAAATCTGTGTGTTTGTACAATTTTAAGTATAACGGAGGACATTTCTAAAACTTATATATACAACAAACCTTCCTCTTATTTTAGCAACATTTAAACATCCTTATACTTAATGTAGTAAGTCGAGTACACCCCATCAAGCTAAAAGATGTTTCATAAGTTTTCAGGATGTGAATTTATTGAAATATATTTGTGTTATGTAGAAAAATGCCACCTTCTAATTTATCGTAAATAACTTTGAAATTACCACTAGAATACAGTGAAATAAAGACTGATCATACAGTTTCAAAATATACAAGCGAGACTGATACAGTGAGAAATTCAAACAAGTGTAATTTTCTTATTTCTGTCTTCAAAGATCTGGTTGAAACTTTTACCACCACTTGAAATATACTTCATTTAGTTAATTACGTCTGGTTTTTACGTTAATTTGTACACTAAGAGGGTAAAAAGATTGTTTTTAGGTTCACCGACTGATTTTCCTTAGTAATGCACTTGAAAATCTCTTGATTAAGGCAAAGATACGAATAATGAATGTGCTGAATTTAATTTTAAACCATTTGAGAATATCGATGTCAGCTGAATTAATCATTTAGCAATGTACAGATGATCAACTTACCGTTTAATTCAGTATATCCATCAAATTTAAAATGTGATTCAAAAAGTTCTCGCTTCGAAAATCGCGACTTCCGGATAGCGTACAGAATAGTATCTACATGTGATAATGCTCCCTACTATCGTTGATGAATCATAAATAACAGATAAAGTGCACTGTCAGTAATATTTTATATAGCAAACTGTTAAAAATCATAAGTTAGATTAAAGTGGGATATGATTTTATGATCTAAGTAGAAAACAAACTCGTAAAAGATAATAAGCTAATAATTTGATACGCCCTACACGCGTTTCGTCTACCTTAGAATCATCAGTGGCATTCGAATCAAAACAATTGCAAAGCGAATTCAAATATTACAAAGTTAAAGATTAAGCTAAAATTCGGAAAAGTTGTGCCAAATAGGGGTAAGGCTATTTATACCTGGGGGTAGAAAAACCTTAGATTTTTTATATTTTAACTCTAATAAAAAAAAACAGTAAATGTACAGAAAATGATCATTACTTCAAAGCGTATTAATAGACATAATTTTAGCGTTCAGTATAATTTTTTGTCGGTTTATTTTTTTACACAGCTATTTTTATACGATTCAAATAAAATACTATCTTGAATCATGAATTCTTAATTGGTATCAAAAGGACAAAAGACGAGCACGCTTTATTAAAAGCATCCAGGTACAAACCAACAAACAAAGAAATATACGACCGGTGAACTAATAAATAAAAACAGACTCCTAATAAAAACAGGAGTGACCCCACGTGCTTCTGAAAGGTGAGCATTATCTTGCTTCGATTCAAAAACCGTAGTATTATTTAGGTATAATGAGATCTAAAGTTGAATTTTGATTTCCTTGCGCTCGA